TCATTCAAGGTCTTCAGCTTAGATTAGGTCATCGGCGTACCAGTAGACTGCGAGTATATAAGACACCCTCGCAGGAGCTTTCACCCTTCGTTCACTTCCCACACCATTTCCTCACTTCTCTCCTTTCCCAAAAATATTCCTCTCGCTCTCTGACATGCCAATGGCAGAGAATGACTGCGAGGGTGATCTTTCTCCTCCTGCCCCAGTGGCATCGCTCTGTGTCTCAACGTCTCCTCAAGCTCGGGCAAAGCGAAAAATTGCCGCCCTCACGGAGGAGGTCGAAAACTTGAAGCAAGACAAAGCTACAAAGCAAAGGTGTGCATGTTCTTGAACTCTCAAAGCGATTTTAATACTTCTGATCGAAGGAAAACGACCTACTATGTTTCGCAGGGACGAGCCCTTCGTAGGATGGTTGTCCTTTACACTCCAATAGAGGATCTGGTTGCCGAGAATGACCGGCGTTGCGAAGAAATTGACGGCGATAACACGATTGAGTAACCATCTATATTCATGTTTCCATTTTTTTTCTAACGATGAACAGGCATAACCGCCTTCAACGCGGATATATCGAACTTGCTAAGGTATTGCCGTGGTTTCATGAGAAACTGGCAGATCTTGATTTCGAGGAGTCGGCAGATATGCTTCGCAAGGTGTCTTTCAGCATATTTGTCACGCTGCTTTGCTAATTGTTAATGTAGCTCAAGCGAGGCGTGGATTCAGCTCGTGGTGATGACATGGGCACTCTGAAAGAGCTCATGGCCTCATGGGTCAATATCGAGTGTCGTCCGGCTTCGCTCATCAGACCAGATGACAAACACCATCGAGGATTCGTGAACGATGCATGCAGTAGACTACTCTGCCCAGCAGAATGGCGCTGGGAGGACCCAATGTAAGGATAGTCCTCGTCACTCAGATGTTACTGATGTGTTATCTAGCGTCAAGGCTGGCATTCGTGATCGTACAACTACTTTCATCGTCTCTGAAAACTCATGGCCGTCATTTATGTATGAAAATTATGAAGCTGACGTTCAGAATCTGGAGCATGGCCTTTTCAAGTCTAGGCTATTGCTTATGGTGAGTCGCAAATATTTTTTTCCAACTGATTTCTCATAGCTCATTGCATTTCAGGGCTTCAAAGCCATCTTCACTTCTCCTTCCTCTGCAAACGAAGTGAATGGTGATGGCGATGGCGCTGATATCCTCGAGAACAACTGGCGTGCTCGGAGACGTTCAGATCACGCCAGAGTCAAGACTTGTGTCGCCTCCATCATTGGTATGAGGAAGGCAACTCCGCGCGCAATCGCGTATACAGCTTGCCAAGTAAGTATCAATGCTTCGCTCTTACCATGAAGTTGAAATTCAATTCTCTAGATCCGATTCGCGCTTTCTAATATCACCTCCTGGCATACCGTAGATGGAGACTTCGACTATCAAATGTTTTGGAACAATATCGTAGACTTTTTTGAGGATCCCCCAGGTCCAGCTGCGCTAATGAGGGTGAACAAGCTTCTTGACTGGTGGACCAGGTAAGTCGTCGACCTTAACAGTGACTCCTCTGGATCACTAACTTCCTGTGTAGAAAAGTTTTCGGAAGAAATCATCGGCAGGACCTAACGCCGGATGTTGTCAAGAACATGTCTGTTAATAGTCTTGCTGCTCAGAGACAGCAGATGGAGGATGCCTCATTCGACTCCAACTAGTTACTTGCCATTTTTGTTTGCTCGTCCCATTCTACTCACTACATTGCCTTTGCTTTGATCACTATATCCTCTTTACCCCGCTGCATCATATCAATCCTACATTATACCCTCAGTCACTAATGCCATCGTGATGTTAATGTTTCCTGATTTGCGTGTGAGATAAATTCGATGTGCTTATTTTCTAATATATGTAGTGTGTGACAGCGCACGACACAGCGATACAAGGCTGGCAATTTTAATATGAACGATCAGAATTTGCCAGTGGTCAGACTACGATGGTCCTGTAGCAATAGAACAAGATAAATATGATAAGGCTGATACTCTGAGATCCGAAAACGACTCTCCAACGTCCTAATAACTTTGCGGCTTGTTGGACTGTTAATTTAAAATGTCAATGATCCATCCAACGAAACATTATCGATAGCACACTGTTTCATAATCTCGAGCTGAGATGTCAGGTAACACAACGCTGACTTTCCTTATTCTCAAGTCCCTAGGAGGGTAATCTTCCCTGGCTGAAAGAAATTTGCCGTCTCCGTCCATGATAATAGTCTAGTATCTGTTGCGACAACCGAGTATCAGTGCAGTAAAACCTAAGTTCACAAGATCATCAGAAATTTTGGGCTTGGGAAGCTGGACGGAGCATGATCGCGAAGGTATGAAAGATTGGACAAACTAAAACTTAAGAGACTGTGATGTCGCTCAGTAGTTCAAAAGATCATCGGAATTTTGGGGCTTGGGAGGCCGGACGGAGCGTGATTGTGAAGGCGTGAAAAATTGCGCGAACTAAAACTTGAGACACTGTGATGTTGCTCAGTAGTTCAGAAGATCATCGGAAATTTGAGGCTTGTGAGGCTGGACGGAGCGTGACTGCGAAGGCATGAAAAATTGCGCGAACTAAAACTTGAGACACTGTGATGTTGCTTAGTAGTTCAGAAGATCATCGGAAATTTGGGGCTTGTGAGGCTGGACGGAGCGTGATTGCGAAGGCATGAAAAATTGCTCGAACTAAAACTTGAGACACTGTGATGTTGCTCAGTAGTTCAGAAGATCATCGGAAATTTGGGGCTTGTGAGGCTGGACGGAGCGTGATTGCGAAGGCATGAAAAATTGCGCGAACTAAAACTTGAGACAAAAGATTGCGCAAACTAAAACTTGAGACACTGTGATGTTGCTCAGTAGTTCACAAGATCGTCAGAAATTTGGGGCTTGGGAGGCCTAAAGGTGTGTGATTGTGAAGGCGCCAAAGATTGCATGAATTACAGTTTAGCACTGCCACTGTGAATGCCTGTAGCGCCACACCAAGGTTTGAATCATCGACAAACATGGTCTTTCAGCGACAGACTGGGAAATCTATGCATTGAGAAGTTGTATGTACTCTCACGTACCTCGGAACTGTATTTGCGCTCCGTATAATGCATGGTTCTGTGCAACAGTTTACCAACAAACATTTTGCGTGCGCGACTCCGGTCCTTCTATCTCATTGCAACTCGGCGTCCATCGAGCAGTGATACCTACTTTAATACAACTCAGGACATTATCACTATTCTATGCAATATACCACTCAAAGCGACACTCGTCGAACATTCAGTCGATACAGACAAACTATTCGTTGAGAATTAATGTCTACTGTTACTCACACTTTTTACCAGAGCAAGTTACTCGCCCATTCGGTAGTCATCCGCAGCGAGCGAAAATATATTGTGCAAAGGCCAAATGACACTGTTCTCTTCACTTATGAGCATCGCCCGAGTGTCTCGTAGTTCTGCACGCTGCAACCTCCTTCCTTGTCCTTCTCAAACCAGGCTCATATTCCAATGCATGAACCTGTGCGAGCACATTGTCTCCTAGACCCGTGCCAGTGAAAAAGTCCTCGAGGCAAATAAGGCTACCAGGCCCGTGTACTTGCAAAGTGGTCTTTCCTCGACAATGCCAAACATTCCCATGTGAAAGCGGTTGGCAAATTTACGCTGATTGTTGTGATGCTTAACAATATATTACTTTGAATATCATTCTCATTTGTTCACAGGTTCTCTGATGGCAGTATGGTTTTGTCTGTGACATTACATCTGGTCTTGTGCCTGCTGCCTACCTGTCAGTTCACATGGAGCACCTCCACCACAGACAGAAGTTAAGAAATCAGACACCTTCGACAATCAAATCAGTTCTAGTTACCCACTTACTCAACAGCCACTATCTCACGTTGACGACACCCTGTCCCAGCCCCCCTAGTGATTTGTCCGAGTCCATCCAGGGTCTTCAACCAGAGTGGTCATCCCATTGTCCACATCCGGGCTGTCGTCATTGGCACGCTGTACCTGCAGGGAAATCTTCTATCAAGGGTCAACAAGCTGGCACCAGAAAACACATCGCTGAAGCCCACCCCGAAAATGCGAAGACTTATTTGGCTGGGGTCTTTGAAATGAGATGGATCTACCGTCCCTTTCACAAAACTGTTGATGGTGAAAACCGGCTGTTCTCCGAAGCAGTCTGGCCTTTTATCAAAGACTATGTTCCTGTATCCTTGGCGCAAGCTATTGTTTCAGTGAGGTCCTCTCGCATCCAATATACGGTTTCTGTCCACAGTCAATATTTGACAGACCTTGGGTGGCAGAAGTTTATTGCTAGCCTGGGCCTGCAACCAGGCGTTCTTCATGGGTTGGTGAGGCTTCAAACAAAGAAAGAGGCACTATCCTTGGAGGGAATAGAAAAGCAGCTTGAGCTCAGTCTTATTATCATTCGGAAGCTCTACAGGTCATATATTGTGGACGTCCAAACCTATATATCTTCCAAAAATGACCCGCAGTTTCATCAAGCAGTAACAATGAAGTGAGTACTCTCCATCTTTGTCTGTGCATAGCTCATAGTCTATTACTCAGCACCAAGGCGCACTTCAGATCATTGAGCCGAGTTTCTTACTACACCTACTCCAGACCTCTGTCTCGCTGCGTCTGCATGCTCATCAGATGGGTCCATGCTGAGCACACCGGTGCTTTGGCGCCATTCGGCGCTTTTTACATCAGACGGAGTCTAGCCCAGGAGTACGCCACCAACATGCTTTACCATTACCTCATTCAAACCAAGGTTCCCCGTCCTGCTGCACTTCTCCAACTTCTGCATCAACTGCTTGTGACCCTCGTCAAGCAGAAATTTACGAACCTAGAAACGATGGCATGCCCAACAGACTACACCCTATGTACCGGCTCACTGGCTGACAATGGCGGGTTTCTACTTGCTACCACCACCACCAGGATGTGTGCTGTGCTGCAGCATAACTTCTATACCATCATCATCCATTCTTCTCGGCTTGAAGACCACGGCTACCAACGTTTTAATCCATTTTGTTTAGATAATTTCACCCTGGATCCTGTACCAGATGCAGGTGAGGCGCTTCAACCCATGGGGGAGCCAACCGCTGCCCCAGATGAAGGAGAAAGCGCTAATGATAGTATGTTGGCACAATTTCGGGAAGTAGAGGAAGAGTTTGTAGATGGTCATGATGATAATATAGATACAGAGGAGGGAGAGTCTGTGCTACTGCATGAAGCTGAAGGCGGATGGGATTTTGAAAAAGAGGAAACTTTTCATTCTTACTATTTAAACGGCGACACTGCAGAGAACCTAGGTGAGGCACGAATTAAGGATGGCATACAGTGCACTAATATGAGTGACATATTCAGACAAATATTATGACCCGCGGTCTTCTCTGCCGGCTCAACGATGTCCACCAAAATTTGTAGCTCAGATAGATCGCAATCCTGGGTCCTTGTCGGTCTTAAGGTAAACTATTATATACTGCTTTCACAACTGGGATTACACTTAGCTGCATGATCTATCTATAGCGTTTTGGCGAAGAATTCACACTACGTTCAGCCCTTGCTTGCCAGCCATCCCTCGTTTGCCACACCCTACAACCACATCAAGACTGCCTGGTTCCATTCGAGGCCAACGTCATTCAAAGAAAGACGAAACTACGGTTTTTTCTTCACTGAAGACGGGACTGCCATTACCATGCGAGACGGTGACGACATCTCCCGGAGTATCCTGTTTTCAGACATTGGGGTATTAGCCAAGACCACGATATCAAATATATCAGATCAGATAGTCCAGTGCTTGCCACATGGTTGCAAAGATCTTCTTCAACAGTTTCGTGGCATCTCCAGTCAGTTAGTCGATGACCTTACTAGTCCCGACGCCATTTTCCTTCAGTCTTCCAACCGCATTCTCATACAGCCATTATTGGATGCGATGTCAAAACATCTGTCAGACCCAAAAGAACTCGACCATCACATTATGCTTTCTCCCTCTGTGATTACTGGGGAAGCTGCCAGAAAGTGGCTGGCGTTCGACAAGCGAATTCTTGGTCAGATCATTGTCGCCTTTCTCCTAACGTGCGGGATACCTCCCCTACACTGGCAATTTCAGACTTTTCAATTCCAGTCAGATAGCACGACGGGCATTGCTCCTACCTTGCAATCGTACGGCCTAGCGTCGTTCACATCACAGGCCTTCTTCATTATGTCAACAACGATCACAAGACTCATATCTTTGCTCATACCTTTCCTACTACTCGCCTTGAATTTCCCCGAGTTTGGAATAGAAGCGACGTTAATAAGTTGCTGCAGATTCATACATCCTCTCTCCCAGTTCTATTATCATGCGGACTTCTGCGAAGCGTGATATCCGCCATGTACAATCAACTCTTCCCAGCTCTTTCCCATGTCGGACCCTCAGATGACTCCATGGTGGATCGCCAAGCCCAACACACAAGGACGACGGGCAACATTCATTATGGGCGGTCTGATCATGTTCCCTTCGCTTTTGGAATGACACTTGAACAGGCTCGCAAATGCATGGCCTCCAGCCAGGCATTGCATGCCTTCTATGGGTTAGGCAGTCTGGATCATCAATGGGCTGAGCGCTTACAAAACTCAGCGTTTCTGACTGACTTGAGGAACGAGAATCTGGGTCTCAAAGAAGCAAGGATTCTTGTCAGAGAGACGTACAACTTACACCACTGTCGCTTGCCACACCAGATAGCTGGCCTTCTGGAGACTGCACCTTACTTAACTCTCAAAGACATAAGCGAATTATGGGTTTGAAGTTCATCCTCCTTAATGTGTTCACTAGGGGGTTATCGGAGATGAGGTGCTTCGACGGGTGATGCATGCAGTGTTGTTTGGTAGTTCCAGACCCAATATTCTTGATCGTCCTTCTGGAGGAGGATACTTGATTGCCAATGTATCAACCGCTGTGGTACAGGTGAGCAGCTTTATCATTACTATTGTTTAAGAATGCTCCTAAATAACTTAAGATTGTCAAAGCTGTGGAAGAAGTAGAATGCGGAGCCCAGTTTCATTCCCCAAGACAGATGGACATCAGCACCATCATTCACTTCGACGAAGTAGCAACACAAGCCCAAAGACACCTTGCTGCACTAAAAGACGACTTTCCTACTTCGTGGATGAAACTATGCACTGACGTCCATAGGCTCTATCAGAAACCAGAGTTGTCGAGAGAGATGTCCTGGGTTGTAAGAGGAGTTCCTGGATAAAGACGTTCACATACTATACATGTGTGGTGATGATTATTTAGTCTCACTCAGCCTGAGGCTCGTGCCATTCTGGTATTAAACAAAAGATGTTGGCATCCACACAAGGACAACTTGAACGTCCATTCAGCGAATGAGCCAAATATTGATGTTCAAAGCCACCAATGTTCTCTGCCACACATGATGCCGATTTAGCCGCTGACCATCATGATCATGCTGAACTTAACATCGTTGAGGACGACATACGTGAATAAATTGAAAATGCGCACATTTTTGAAATGTTTGCGCTATCTGGATTCTATTTAATTAGGAGAATGAACAAAGAAAGAAGCTGTAGAAGCGGCACTACGTGCTTGTATAAGAGATCCAATACACACACTGGCTTCAATGCCAAGGGAAGTACTCAATGCTCAGCCCAATCATTTAAATCGCGCATAGCTCATGGAGAGTATTGGTCGAAATGCCAAGGTGCGTGAGTTCTTGGCCCTCCCTTGAATGTCCCTTTTCAAATCAATACTTCTAGCCGTACTTGCCGGTGTTCAGATTGTAGCAATACTGAATGTACAGTTTTGTTCTATATCAATTCGACACTTGGCATAAGCCCGAATCTGAAGTTGTTCAATTGAAATGGCCGGCTGAAAAACGTCAAGAGCATGGCACAGCCAGGTTCCAAAAATCTAGTGCGCGCCACAACTGAGCTTACTAGCTTAGAGCAATGACGGCGCAACGAGGCAAGATGTTTGCTGCTCTGGTGTTCTTGTTCCTCAGGATGCTTTAGAATTCGTCCTGCAACAACACGATTCTTTAATGGATACAACGTCGATTCCTAGCATTGTTATCATAATGCCAATTATCAAGTTCGACGGGTATTGGAAGTCCTCCAGCTCCAGCCCCATAAAATCCTTTATGCTTCTCGCCGGAACAAACCGGTAGAAGATGCTGATATTCCCAGCTTTGTCGTTGATCCCACTTGCTCGTACTCCTCCGAAAGATTGTTGATCCACCACCGCACCAGTGCATTTCTCGCTGTGATAGACATTGTCAACAGCATTAGCTAGTTTGTGGCAGTCGGAAGAGCTTTGCGGTCTGCGGTAAAGCTGGAAAGGAAGCCATCAGTCAATGCATGTCGCAGAGACCTTGCAACTTACATGAACCCAGTGATGACCGGATCTAATATTCTTTCATCGTACTCGAGTCAGGATCTTTTATTAGCATATGGCAGGCTGTATGGAGACTCCTTCGAGTCATCGCCTATTGGATCATGAGAAAAGTCGGGTCTTTGAATCCAAATGACCAGATCGAAGAGGAAACGTATAGCTGCGACAACGCGGAACACTGTTGTCCTGCACATGTCCATCAATCTTGCGTATCACTCATAATATGCGAACCTTGATACTCAAAGCCTCGAATGCCCGCAAAACTGCATTTCGGATATCTGCGAGTTTGTGGACGACGTGGAAGTTCCTCCCTCCTGTATCGCCGATGATTCTCGGATAGCTTTGTACTTGTCTAGGTTTGCGGCAATGTCTTTCCATAGCTTTTGGAATATGAAGCTGCTGCCTGTGAAGTGGGATGCTGCAAAGCTGGGGTGCGATATCGCCTATGTGACAAATTCTGAAGGTGACCCAGAGATCAACTGGAAGAAGTCGAAGAGCTACGAAAGTTTCATTAATCAACTGTCACCAAGATGATCCCACATTACACACCTCAGCGACAGCATCAATCTCAGCCTGCCAAGCACTTCCCTTGACCAAGCGTAGTAACTGCCACCAATTTGTGACAGTACTTGCCGCTAACGAGCTCTGCACTGGCACGCAGGAAGATGGCGATGCGATCGTCCGAGGCATGGCCTCCCATTGTGCCTTGGCAAAAGTGCACATCAGTCGCGCTAGCTACGGTCGAGCCATCTGCCTCATTGTATGTGCAGAGATGGTAACTTGCGGCTTCAGGGTGATATCTACGGTGGGTTAGCTGGTGCCATTGTAGGTATTGGTGTAGAGGAAGGTAGCACACTGTATTTTGCGAAAGAGAATGGTGCCAGCTTGCTGGTTTCCGTGCTTGATACCGGCAGAGGGTATTAGTCGGTGTGGAAGCAGGTGCGGTGAACAGAAGCTATGCGTGGCATGATACTAAACAAGAATGAAGGAGCTGCGGTAACTGCACGCGCATGCGTCGATGGTGCAGTTGGCTTGGTGAAAAAGTGGGAACCGACAGACCTATTGTCCAAAAATAACTTTGGCATGACCATCGAGGATGATGGAATGATCGTCAGCAACATCGGCTGACTGATGAAGCTCAGCGCCAGTGACACTATGAGAGGCGTTAATTCAAATGCAGCAAGACACAGAACCGAACGTACGGGAACCAGATGTTAGTACCAAGCCTTTGGCCCGCGTCGTCCGTCAACTTCCAGTTACTAACATATCTACCACGTCGGGAACATCGGGTACCTGGTAGGAAACGTGCTGTAGCGATTGCAAACTGTGGTAGACTCAACGAATGAACCTTTAGGTCACCGGTCCATACATCAAGAGCTTGATTAATAAGTTTTTAACTGGACAACTGACAGATTGCTCTCGGCTATCAGTCCTCACTCAAGCCTCGTTGGAACGCAGACAACGAGGATTTAGCTAGCAAAACGATCAAATTTGAATAAATCTAACATACATTTAAAGAACACCGATTATAATGCGAGGCCAAGCTTGTAATTGGAGAGAACAAGTTACAAGGAGTCAACGACGAGAAGATAACCGGGTGAGCGACAGTTCTACATAGCTGAGATAATCAAATAGATTAATTAGGAAAAAAGTTCGTATGCATGCGTAATGAAGACTTTGATAAGTGTGACGCATCCCATGCTAGTTGACACTTCTGACACTGCTCAGCGTTCGTAACCCTGCTGAACGTCCCTCCTTGCTACTGTTGTGCGGGTTCGTTAAACGCAGGCTATCGTCGGCTGAACGTCCTTCCTTGCTACTCGTTGTGCGGGTTCGTTAAACGCAGACCATCGTCTGCTGAACGTCCCTCCTTCGCTACTGGTTGTGCGGGTTCGTTAAACGCAGACCATCGTCTGCTGAACGTCCCTCCTTCGCTACTGGTTGTGCGGGTTTGTTAAACGCAGGCCATCGTCTGCTGAACGTCCCTCCTTCGCTGTTCGTTGTGATACTAGATTCGTCAAACGTAGGCTATTGTCCATCGACCGTCTCCGTCGAAATACACATCTTTAATATTCGTGATTTAAATGCCATATACTGCGGGCTGCTTCAAAATACGTCAACTTGACCTGCAACTTTGATAAATGCAGTTTTGTAGAGTATGTCAGTATCATCATGCCAGCTCTCAGTAATGCAGCGATTCGAACACTCACACCTATCTACGTTTATTCGCACAGAGTCGGGGGACTATTCTTCTGAGCGAAACTCATGCACTTTGCGCAAACTTTGCGCGAATTCTCCAATGTGCATTTGCGCATCTGCTGCTTGCACGTGCATGTGCCATGCTGAGCCTACTCTTCTGTTAATCTTTGTCTTCCGAAGCCGTTCAATTGGTGAGTATTGCTGCAAGTTGTATTTGCAGTATTGACCCGAATCTTTACTCAGTTTTTTCGAATGTCTCGGTCAAGAATACAGTTGGGGCAATCGTCGAGACTCGATGATACCTTGCATTGAGCGCACATGTCGCGGGCTGTTCGGTCTGCTTTCATTCCATCGGTTTCGTGCTCTGTTTCAACTGTTTTTGTATCATACCATTCCATGCATTGTATTCGTATTCTGTACTAGTAGCTACAATTTGAAGTAATATGATATGAACCGTTCTCGCACGATATCAAATCGCTCGTAAGAAATGCAAGGGAGTGCCACATCGTGTAGAAACAACTTGAACGACTCTCGCACGACGCCGCATGATACGGACTCTTTTTGCATCGTGTATTCGTCCGGATTTCTTGTCGAGATCGTGCGAGGGCGGTTTCAGCTGGCGGTGCACGATGTGGCACGCTCTCATACGTTCCCGCACTGTCCGGATTTCACTGGGGGCCAGGAACCACGAGGATTAGGAGCTGCTGAGGTTTAGGATGTGTTTTAAGACTGTAAGTGTTGGTGCTGCGCGCCGTAAGGGTTAGTACGAGCTACAAAAGCATGGTTTTATTTTGCGAGCGAAAGTGAGACAGAATAGTCATTACTCGACGGAATTACGAGCTACCTCCTCCGCCTTTGAAAGACCTAGCATACGGGGCATAGCTTGTATGAAATAGTTGAACGTTATCTCTTTATCTCCAGTAAACGAGCGGACGTCCTTTATGGCAGCTGCGTACCAGTCCTTATCTTGCTGGCCAGGGAAGCGTGTTACAGTGTCTATGCCTGCAGCGTGCCTCATCTTCCAACGACATAGAGCTGCAATGAAGCAGGTAATATTTCTAATGCATTTTTTCCACTGCACGTCTTCATGGAAGGGGATAAAGCGGGAATATTGCTGGCGCGACAACATCTCTTCCATAAAATCGACAATTGTTGGATGCGCAAATGGAATCCCGCACATTCGGGATTCGCTTGCGTTCACCGGTATCTAATCAGAACCCGAACCGTTAGCGTGAGGGGCATGCGAATACAATCCACCTACCTCTAGGTGCCCATCTAGAAATGAGTTGTCCAGCAGCATAGTGGTGACAACAGTGAGGCGCTGCAAGTCCATCTCTGCCTTGCTCTTGGTTATATTAAAGGTTAATTGGAACCCCGTAATAACGTTGCCAATCCGGTCCGCAAAGTCGCGGTGGAGCATTGTGACGACGGCTTTCAATTTGGTGATACGGGCTTCGCCATCCGTTGACCTCCAGTTTTTGATTCCCTCTACGTTTTTCATCGATGGGTTGTGAAATGAAGATATAGTACGGAAGACATACCGTCTGCATGAAGGGCGACAACCTCGTCTAGAGCTTTCGTGGCCCTTTTTGTAAGTTCTTTTGCGGTAGGAAAAAGTCCCTCCTCAAAGGTCAAGCTTATCATCCTGCTGTGAGATTCGTCGTACACTTGTCCGAGTAAAGCCTGCGATACAATGACGAATAGGTCTGGCTTCACTGCCTTGGACTTTCTTGCACGGGGAACGTCCTTAGGCGCAGTGTTGCGAGAAGTCCGTTGCTTGGAACTGGGGCGTTGGACCCCGGTGTGTTGGAGCACCTTAGTTGCGTCATTGTTGACAGGCAAAGGCAACGTCAAGCCAAAAGAGCCTAATGAGAACTGGCGCTGTGACTGGGCGTGTGGGATGCTGTGATTACCCTGACTGGGCTGTAGCTCCGGGTTCGTCACGGCACCCGGATGGTTTTGGCCCGCGGACGCCTGATACCGTAGCGATTGTTCGATTGACGTATCATACCCTAGTAGATTGCGAACGTGAATCGGCGAAAACAACTGAAGTTTGAAGACTTACCTCGACTTGGGCCGCCGTGCATTGGCAAGCCATCTGAACCAGCCTGTCGTTGCAGTATTTCCATCCCGTTGTCAACGGGCGAAGGGAACGTCGAGCCGAAAGAGCCCAATGAGAACTGGCGCTGTGACTGGGCGTGTAGGATGCTGTGATTGCCCTGACTGGGCTGTAGCTCCGGGCTCGTCACGGCATTCGAGTGGTTGCCACCTGCGGACGCCTGGTACTGCAGTGACTGCATGTACCCTATTAACGAAAATGCCGGAGGATATACTGGCTGGGCCTGGACCCCCGAGCCTGAGGGGGTAGCTTGGCCTAGGTCACTAGCTAAAGATAAAATGTGGTCTTGGGTAGCCTGAGAAGCTGGGAATGACTCGAATGGTTGTAGCAACTGGCTGCTACCTGGCACGGCCAGCTCTGGCTGTGGCCGGAACACTTCATCGTTGGTACCGAACGCTGGATTGAAGAGTTGAAATAGTCCGGGTGAGTCATGAGACTTAATCTCACCTTGACTCGAATTCGGACAAATAATCGGGCCAGTGCTCGCGCTTGTTCCACCAAGTTCGAATGATCCTTGCTCCCGCCACTGCGGCGGTAATTGTAGCATAGATTCTACTAGCTTGGACTCATCCACGTTAGCTGTGCTTAATTGGTGGAAAAGCGTCGTATGGTGGTCCCTGTAATCGTGATCCTGCCATTGCCCAGCGGGCCATAACGGGTCTGCCATACTAACTTGAACTCGATTGTTGACCTGATGGAACGTGAGTACCAACACTAGTAGTAGTATCGAGGATTTAAATCCATCTGATGGTGTTAAAAGTAGCTGTACATACCTTTCGATGTAAACGTGCGAGGTCACTGGAGGTCGCGGCTATGACAGAGTGAAAAAAGACGTCTAAGGTTTATACTGTGATGATAATTACCGTGTACCAAATAGTGATGGATAATGATTGCAGGCTGAAGCCGGCTAAGGTTGGTAAAGACTACCATACTGAATCTCTGGTCGTTTCCTGCCTCGCGTCCGATTTCACTTACCTCACCCAACTTCCTGCCCCAATGCATCGCAGCAGCTAGAGTTTGAAAAGATTGCTTTGAAATTCATGTCGCTTACTACCTAGAGGCGTTTTGGGAGTGATCCAAAATGGACTAGAATACGCGAGGCTCTTGAATGGTTCCCAAATAGCGCCGCGATCAAGCTCCGAAATTGACCAGCGCTCTGCAATGTCATTCCCACAACGCGATATGTAATAGGACCATACGCTCTCCATGAGGGGTACAACATACTGAACAAGATAATTTTCAGAACAGCGTCCATTTCCAGGCAGTGTGGACGAACTTCGATGCTTACATCGAAAAACCCGTGGTCCATAGTAGCGTCATTAATATTGGAAGTCGTCTGAGTTGGGTCGGCACGTAAAAAGGCGTGATGGTGTCTCGACTGCGCCCATCGCAAAGTTAGCCGAAGTGTCAATTGCCACCGTACACGCCGTCGGACCGACTCCGGATAAATCGAGGTTGCGCTCTCGTAGTTACCCTTTTGGATATTGCGGTATCACATTAGAGTCAGGACTCAGGAGGCCCCTAACACGAGGGTAGCCTAGAGGCGGCACGATGCTGATAAGATGAGTCAGGTCCGACCAGTAAATTATTATAATAATATTACTCTTAGCCGGCTCAGAGAAGACCCTGATGAATAAAATAGATCGAATAAATCGAATGTTGTACTTATTCGACTTGCAAACACAAATCATCGTTTTTTTCCCTAAAAGTCGCGTGCTACATAAGGTAAGTCGGCGCCGATTGATTCCACGTGGGATCACGCTATGGCAGGAGTGCACCCTCCCATATTGGTTGTCTGTGCTAGCCGAGGCACGAGGCTAGCACAGAAATTTAAGTAAACAAAGTGACGCAACGCACCTTGCTCCGGCTAACATCTAGCCTTGAAATCTTAGGTCCGTGCGCATGCGCTGGGCCGAAAAGCCCTACGGGCTTTTACCCAATCAACTTCCTTTACGTTCATCGATCAATTGCTATCACACTTGTACCTAGCTTCTGCGCCCAGGTTGTGCGTTACCACTATATAGTACATTGGGGCTTTCGATGTCAACGTCTTGCTTTCGCATGGTGTATGCAAGACGCTTTATTTCGTAATGAAGATCATGACGCGGAATTCAATCAATGAGGGCTACACACTACTACAAAGAGAGGGAGGAAACACACGATGTGAATAATAATCGACTTGAAAGCGGGTTTACGAGGAAAACGTCCAATAAAAAGTATATCGACGAACAGAGGGCATCATAATATGGTACAACCTGTGCTTTACTATCCAGCCTGTTATGCAAGATCAGTATTATAAGTGACGGTGATCGATACGATAATTACATCAGATGTTTCAACGGACTTGACGGAATCTTGCGACATTCTGCTACTGTCTATGGACTCGGATTCACACCCGCTGCCGCATTGATCTTCTGAGTCATCCAAACTCGTGAAGTCTAGTAAGCGATCTCCATCGACGCAATCGTTGACAAGGGAGTGGGCCATACCCTCAACGAGATCAAGCTGTTTGTCTCCAACGGCGAGCGACGTTATGTCAGGCTTGTATACGGCCACGCAAAAGTGGAGGCGCTCATTGAGCTCATCCACGTTTCCTCTGGAGATCCCTTGGAGCGAGGTGTCCCAAGGTTCTGACGCAGCATTGACATATGTGTCACTGTCGTCTTCAAGAACCATCTGAAGAAATCTTTTGTGTTCTTCGATAGCTTGGATTTCCCAAGCTGTTGTCAGAGCACGCATGCGCCTCCATTCAACATCAGCTTGTTTCGTGAGGACGGCTTGCGCAATTGCCTCGGGAGATAGGGATTGCAATCGATTTTCGAGTAAAACTTTGCCCTGGCATGCTGTTGAATTATCAAGAGGTTGCGGGTATGCATCGGTTAACATACCTTCTGAGTGTCCGGTAAAGTTCCAGAATCAGTGGGGGAAAGTTGGCTTGCAGCGTAGCGGCGCTGTACTGTGCTGGGGTCACGCCTCTCGTAGGGCTTGGGTTGTGCTTTCGCAGAACGCACATAACGAGACAGACTCCGGATTATGGGAGGAGGAGTTACAGGTGCATTTATGTCTTCATCGGATGAATCATAGGGACCGGTGTCAGATAAGTAAAGTGATCTTGCACGGCGTTTGGTTGGTGTAGTGGCAGTACGACGCGTACGACGAGTCGTGCTATTGGCAATAGCCAAAGAGCGATGGAAATCTTGTTCACGGCCATTCAAAAGGCCATTCGCTCTGCCCTTGCTTGGGCCTTCATAGTCAGGACGATAGTGTCTGAAGATGCTTTGAGGAGGAACTTGAACAGCGGCCATACCTTGTGGACTCTGGAGACAGTGAGGCTGAGTTTGAAATATTGAGGTGCTTTTTATGAACACGGTTTACAAAAATGGGTTTTGGGTTTTTCCCTGATAAGACTACGGTACTCCCGGGCCCTTGAAAAAACTATGGACAAGGTGCTTAAGCTATACTAGTAACCTCGAATCAGAATACAGCTCATGGGAAAACTGCATGAACAAGAGCATGAGAGTGCGGCTTGAGTTCGATCACTAGATACCTGCCGATTTTGATGTACACTGAAATCGGAAGTTGATTGATAAGGTAACCGCCTATTTTAACGTGTATCGAAAAAGGACACCACGTCTAAATCTGAGTTGGAACTTGGTACGACCGGTGAATCAGTAGCTTCCCATCTTTTTGAATGAATTCCCTCCGTTTCGCAACTGAGATAGTTGGTCAAGTTATATTATGTAATATTATGCTTAGATTATATGTTTGTTCATATTTGGGTCTTATCGATCGTTACTAATAGTACCCACTCTCAGGCTCAGGCTACATCATGATTACTGAGATCTGAGGGAGAAAAACTGATGTTCTGTGCTACGTAGCCTTACAGTTCAGCCAAAGCTGTCGCAGCATGCATTTATTAAGGTGATCGAAGTTGACACCAAGGTCGGTAGGATACATATCCCCTACAACCTCGCTTTAGAACGCGGTGGCGTGAACCAAGATCAGTCTTCTATACTTGTATCATAACGACATTGACTAGGTGGGCCACCCAAGCATTTACAAAGGCGCAACCTCTTGATCCGAATCGTACTTTGGCTTGGATCGGCCAGACATTGACTGCAATAGCAAACCGCCATGAAGCGAGGCACATTACTTGAGCATGCAGTCAGCATGACAGCAGACGTGGTAAATACAAGCCAGCTGCCCTATATCTGTATAACGTGCGGTTCAAGCCTATGGCAGACCTGCAATTTGCCTCGCGCGTTCTTGTCACTGTAAATGATTCAAATACAGTCCGTGCACCCACTACAGATATCCTTTTACCTGCCTTCTTCATCCTCGGACGCCATTCCCAGCTCTTCTCGGCTTCGGATGGCTGGGGCCTCCATACCTTCGGTCTGATTTGCGAATGCCTTGGAAAGCTTGAACAGGATGTAGAATACATAAATTGTGCAATTACTCTCCTAGAAACAGCGTACGAAGAGAAAGAGGACCCCATAGTCGAATGCCAATTCGTCATCGCACGCACCAATGTCGCACGGCTTTGTCTTAGACTGCAGGGCTACGAAGGATTGCTGACATCTTTCGAAAACGTTCTAGGTCTACTTCCTGAAGATGCAGGGGCATGAATCACAGTTTCTACGCTTGCGATCTCAATACGGGCCAGAGTTAGCGCCATTCAAGATGGGGGATCTTCAGGCCACTATGGTGACGCTCCAAGCTGCTTTGGAAAGCGCCCCTGACGATCGTGTCCTTCGAGGACAGGTCACTATTCTACTGACGCAGACAATGTGGGCGATTAGGACGCCCGAGTTCCGTGAGTCTGCGGACGGCTTGTTACTTGATTGGTCAGAATGCAACGTCGATGATTTCCACGTGACTAATTTATCGCTTTAGCATCACCTCCACCCCAGGAAATTTGATGGCGATCAACACTCCAGCTGGAATGGGGATACTCGCTGAAGGCGATGGGCTAGTTGATGCCGCGCTCTCAGAAATTCCGTCACTCCCCGTGGAACAGAGACATGAGCTCGATCCTCGAAGACGTGTTGGCACATCTCTTCATGTAACATTATCTTGGACTGGTACGAACCCAAGTCTTGAATTGTTGAGTGCACGATCCTGAGATTTTTCGGCAGGGTGATTTATTGGAGAGGAGTCCTACTGGTAGTAATTTCAATTGAGAACGGAAATTCGTCTGAAATAACTTTTTCACCTTCAACCTCTTCCATTTCTTCCGAGGCATTGGGTAGTAGCAAAGACGCCCTAGTTTCATCCAATGCTTCTGCGGTACTAATCGCAAGGCGAGTATCGGGGCACCCCGACTGCATTATCGAGTATCACGATTGAATAGCTGACAAGCGAAAGATAAGATTCAGAGCAAGAACGTGGCAATGTCTACATGGCTATGATGTTGTATTTCTGAACAAACCCAAGAAATGTTGTGCATGATAGGTATATTCCACACCCGCGCGTTCTCTCCTGCATCATCAAGCTGGACGTGAACTAGACCAGCCTCCATCGCCATAGAACGGAAAATAGAACTCTTGTTCTCCAGCCGCTTCTTTGAATTATCAAATTCTGCAATCAAAATTCGCCAATCGAAGATAAATTGTGGATGAACGTCGTTGGAGCGTGCTTACCCTTCCAGCATCTAGAACCAGAATCCCATCAGACTCCATGATCGTGTTCAAGCGATGCCTATACGATCATTATTGGCACTAATCGTCGATGATGTCGGACGTGTCACATACGCGATGGTTAGAATGGTCACATCGCGGAAGATTGGACCTCGAATAGTTTCTTGAATCGCTCGGTCGGTATCTAGATCGACTGCAGATGTTGCTAGAGAATCATGCACATTAACCTTGCAGAAGAACAAGATACCGCTCATACAGACCTTCATCGAGGACGAGCATTTTAGTCTAGGGAGCGTCGGTGATGAAAATTCATAATCAACCAAAAGAGACGCTCGTACCTTGCGCAAGAGCGCCCTCGCAAAACGCAAGAGCTGTCTCTGACCTGCTGAAAGCGACGATCCGGCCTCCTGGACTGGAGCATCTAGTGCCCCAGGAGGTGATTCGACGTATGCCTTCAGATGGGCCTGTAGAAGTGTCGTTAGTAAGCATCAGAAGCGCAAACGTATTTCAAAGACGGACGTGCTCCAGAGCAGTCCGTATATCAACATCCCGGTGCTCGCCAACAGGGTCAACGTTCTCTCGCAACGTGCCCTCGAATGAATCTGGGTTTTGAGGAACGATGGATATCGCGGACCGCACTATGTTGATTTGATCAAGATCAAGGGGTGTCCAAGTTCCCAAATGGACAACTCAAAAAGGATGCACAGTCATGCAGGCCAAGTTTGGTAATGTCTGCGTCGTCAATGAAAATAGCTCCAGATGCAGGCTCAATGATCCGGAAGAGGGTAAGAAGAAGCTGTAAAAGCATCGTCACAGTCCAGCAGAATGTCATACCCTGCCCCAGTCCGGCCACATATTCCAACGTTCTCTTTCGGTTTCTGGAGCATCTCGAGTTGGCATACATATGCGAGAAACCCGGCGAAATAACTGACTACGGTCATGGAAATATCCTTGAGGACTAGATCAAGCCCGGGCCGATACCGTGCTGAATATTCCCTATATCGGACAATTTCAATACAATTTCGTGCGTACAGCGACATGGACTCACCGGAATTCAACTTCCCCAGCTGTAGGCCACCCAGAGGTGGGCTTATTCTCAGGGATCTCATAAGGAGCTTCTGGCTCAAGGTCTTTCGCGTAATGGAAGATACGCTCGACGCTAACGACATTCTGTTCTACTTCACTTGCGGAGCGGACGAACCAGTTCTGCGGCCGCTCGGTTACCAATGCCTCGGGACGAAGAGAAAGCCACTCACCAGTGAACCTGTTGCGTTCAAAGCGTATGACAGAACTATACTGATCAACCCAGCATAAACGTCGCTGGTCACCACGGCAGAGACGGCCAAAACAGCCGTGACGAGGATAATCACTGCTCCAACAAACTCCAATCTTACTGCAAGCCATCGGTTGATGGAAGTACTAGGAAGGTAGCACAACTGGTTGCGAACAATGCTCGCCGCATTGTTCGCAATGAAACCGGCTTGTTGGTCATAAGCCCGGATAGCGAAAAGTCCAGGATTCCGAGAACTACACAAAGATGGGGTGAGCGGGACGCCGCATCTAGATGCTTGAGTTCACGTGACGTCACGAGATGGTACCTATTGATGACGTTAGGATGATTCTGGAAGAAGAACAAAGCCATTCATACACGGTGATCTTGTAGTAGAACCGTGCCAGAGGACGTCGATCAAGAAGGGCGGGAAGCTGAACCCGATAACCAATAAAATAGAAGCGCAGACCCCGCTTGTGCGTATCATATTTTGGATGAATCGCGCCAGGATTTGATCGAAAACGTATGTATCACGAGAAAACAAGTTCAACGATACTGCAACAAGAGATTGTTCGAACTCAGAAATCATTTCACGGTTTACTAATTTGACGCATCTTCCTGTCGGCGTTGTTTCAAAAAAGTTGAGGGGCGCACGCGTGACTGAATGCAGCATCTGAAAAACAAATGAAACACATTCCGTCCATACTTGGAACGTAACACTAACCGAATCATGGGGGTGCTTTGAGCTCCGAAGCAAGCAGAAAACCCAAATCAGAAGCGCAGCAGATGCGCCTAAGGAAATTGCCATCAAATTAGACAGACCGTATCCCAGGAAATACTTGTCGGCCAATCCCGGGTTGGTACCCATCTCGCGGTCATGCTAGCCCCAGCCTGAGTATTACGGTCGATATGACAGATACCACCTGCTGCAGAACCGTAGCGATTACAAAGAACAGGAACCCTTTTTTCGATGCTGCTTGGAGGTACCGCGAGGACACTTCCATCTTGACGCGGCCCTGTTCACTGTGCTCTTTAGCGATGCCATCGGAAGGCGCGTAGCGAGGACGGCTTTTTTGAAACTTTCTCTACGCGATACCTTCTCTGATACAGATTCGAGTTCTCCAACAAGGGTGGCTTGCATGTGGCCCTCGCTTGTAGTGGGAGTAGTCATGCCGCTGGACCGTCCGGGTGTGGTGGTTCCAGAATTGGAACCGCTCGTGGCATGGCCGTGACTGTCATAACTCAATTAGATCGCGTCGAACATCGTGAATGGAAATAGACGCACACAAGCTTGCGCACTTCACTATCCGGATTCGACATCAACTCACTGTACGAGCCACTCTCCAAGATCATACCGCGGCGCAGGTAAACAAGTTGATCGAAATACTTGAGATACGAGATGCTGTTAGTGACAAGAACGCGCGCTTTGGTTGCGAGTAAGCCTTGAGGACCCATGATCTGTTACATAGTATCATTAAAAAGAAAGAAGTCTGAGACCGGATGCTCTTACTCACCAAAGACGTGTCGGGCAACGTGGGAATAGATGGCAGCTAAAACATCACCAAGGAGAACCCTGCAGGATGCACCGCTGAGCTGAGAGATCAATTACCTTTGGCTGATACGTTACTATCCCGAAGTACTTACAGTAATGGCTATAGAACGGACGCCATAAGCATTATTGGGTCGCCAAAAGGATAATCAGAAACACACCCTTTTCACCGACCTCCGTCAGATCACCCTGTAGGAGAAAATCTAAGTTGGGCTTCAAAGCACAAGCTGCAGAGAAGGGTCAGTCCAAACCTAACACAGTTAATCGTGTACACACCTTCGATAACAAGGTTATAAAGCGCCTCATCGTACTCATGTGAAAAAAGTATATCACCTTGAACCAACGCAGAAAGAATCCTATTCGCTTGTGAGTGAACGTGCTAGAAAATCCTGCATATGCGACGCACCAAGGAGTCTGAGCAGCGTAAGCTACATTGCCGAACAAAGCCACCTCACCCTCTGTCTTTCGCACGTCCCCGATAATCGCTGACAACAAGCTACTCTTCCCGCTGCCCACACTACCAAGTACACCCACGAGTTCCCCCTTGTGTACCGTCAAGTTTATATCTTCCAGAGCAGCTGATGTATCTTGTCTGTTCCACTAAAATTCGCCATTTTTGATTGAAAGCACCTGTCACAAATGTGAAAACAATCATAAGTAGTTAGAGAATTGCCAACCTCGTCACCGACGTCCAGACTGCTTTTCTGCACCTTCACGAGGGCATTCTGCTGCAGCTCCTCAGCGTGCAGGAAGCCTTATAGACGTTTGACGGAAACGAGGGCCTCGACGACGTTCGACGTGACTTGACTAAACTGTGACGCAGTCAACGATTGTTGAACGATTATTACTCACCATAGCATAGATGCCACAAATATGATGATGGCAACAACGTATCCCTCGAGCGTGCTCGGACCAACGAGGAGGTTGGCTGCACCGTTGGAGAAGTTGATGTTGCAGTAATGCAAGAATATCCTGTAAGATTTTCAAGAATGCAGCACCTGCGTACGGGCCGCCATAAGTAGGAACAATGCGAGCCATAAGGACGAACTGCAACTCGGTCGGACAAAGAAAACCATTTTTATCAAAATTACACTCACTGCTCCTCTAGAGAGCGCTCTAGATCGTTTCCAATATTCTGACTCGCCATGGGGAAGCAAAGCAGGCAAGTCGTGATGAACTCTTTCGAACCTTTCTGCATCAACGGTGTCAACCAAGCAAATCACCAGATGCTGTATACATTTGCCGTGACCATTGGGCTCTCCGTATTATCCTTGACCGAATCATCAGGGGAGACGCACTCCAGCGCGTGTGCCGGGAGAGAGAAAAGTTCGACAGCCCATTTGAGAGAACTACGAAAAGTCCCTTCGAGACTTCGCCCTACACGAACGATTTGGTCCATATCGCGAGGTCGACGGTGTAACAAGGCCAAAACAGTAGGAGGATGGTTGATGATGATCGCGTCCGACGATGGTTCAGTCGGGTGAGTATCCAAGACACAAGCAGCGCGAGTGGTTCAAGGATGTAAGGCCGCACGACCGATGCTGCTCTCTTGAGTGACAAGACGATGAAGAAGTTGAAGCAGGACGCAACAATGGCCGGTCTCAACAAAACCTGCCCGCCAAGTTGGTTCGAGGTAGACACATAAAGCTATCGCAACGCACCAGTTTCGCCCATCGACTTTTCCGCGAAATATCGCGAGGGGGAGGATATCTCAAGGCCCAAATTCTGCATGTTGCCGACAGTAGCATTAAAGCCAGAAGAGATGTTAAAATGACGCCTTTCTCAAATCAAAGAGTGAAATCAAGTTCACAAAGCTTTGATACGACGATGCACCACCCTTCAACGTCCTGACAACTTGACAAGGCGCCACAAGGTGCGACGATGACCATCGATGGCAGTATTGACTGATATGAATAAAGTCGGGCTGGGGTCGGTCCGTGCTCAAGTCTTGGAGCGGTCAAACTACGTCCATTGTAAGTACACAACCGCTTGTGACAAGCTGTGACACTATATTGTATTGTGCAATGGCACGTAAGGAGCGACCGGTGCTTTGAAATACTAGCAACCTGTCGAAAATCATTAAGTATTCACCCTTTCCAAACAACGCGGAGCACTAACAACATACGCATATCATGAGGAACAAGTTCGGGAGGACAGGTATGCTCGGCAAGCACTCGGGGAGCGCAGCACGGGAGTTTCACCAATAAAGACGAGCCATACTGCAACAGGCGAGATCAAAGTTTAATGAATCTAACATACGTTTAAAGAACACCGATTATAATGCGAGGACAAGCTTGCAATTAATTGGAGAGAACTCAGAGTCAGGAATATGAACGACGAGAAATAACCGGTGAGGCTTGAGCGAGTTCTAGCGGCTGAGATAATCAAATCGATTAATTAGGAAACAAGTTCGTACGCATGCGTTTGCAGGCACCTGATTTTACTTTGATAAGCGTGACAATAATGCTTCCCATACTTCTGACACAGCGCTCATAACCCTGCCTAAAGTCCCTCCTTGCTACTGGTTGTGAGGGTTCGTTAAACGCAGGCTATCGTCTGCTGAACGTCCCTCCTTCGCTACTGGTTGTGCGGGTTCGTTAAACGCAGACCATCGTCTGCTGAACGTCCCTCCTTCGCTACTGGTTATGCGGGTTCGTTAAACGCAGACCATCGTCTGCTGAACGTCCCTCCTTCGCTACTGGTTGTGCGGGTCCGTTAAACGCAGGCTATCGTCTGCTGAACGTCCCTCCTTCGCTACTGGTTGTGCGGGTTCGTTAAACGCAGACCATCGTCTGCTGAACGTCCCTCCTTCGCTACTGGTTGTGCGGGTTCGTTAAACGCAGACCATCGTCTGCTGAACGTCCCTCCTTCGCTACTGGTTGTGCGGGTTCGTTAAACGCAGACCATCGTCTGCTGAACGTCCCTCCTTTGCTACTGGTTGTGCGGGTCCATTAAACGCAGGCCATCGTCTGCTGAACGTCCCTCCTTCGCTACTGGTTGTGCGGGTTCGTTAACCGCAGATCATCGTCTGCTGAACGTCCCTCCCTCGCCACTCTTTGTGCGGGGTCGTTAAACGCAGGCCATCGTCTGTTGAACGTCCATCCGTCTTGTTGGTCATGATGCTAGATTCGTTAAACGTGGGCTATCGTCCACCGACCGTCTCCGTAGAAACACACATGTTTAATATTCGTGATTCAAACGCCATATACTGCGGGCTGCTTCAAAGCACGTCAACTATCCAATCTTTTGTCCATTGAGAGTAGGATGATACTATCTAGTCTCGGGACCCTATGTCCCAGCCCCGACTGCAAATTCCCAGATGCAATGATGTAGGGCGTGGAACGTCATGGCAACGGCGTGGCGTTGCAAGTCCACCTCTGCCTGGCTCTTGCTTATATTGAAGGTTAATTGGAACCCTGTAATCACTCTGCCAATTCGCTCCGCAAAGTCGTGGTGGAGCGTTGTGATGACGCCCTTCAACTTGTTAAATTGTGAATGTCCTAGTTGTACATGAAAAAATTTATCCAGGAATACCCCTCAACGCCCAACACCTTTCTCCACCTGTGCTTGGTGCCTTCTGATGGAGCCCATGGACTTCGAAGCATAGCTCAGTCCATGACTTAGGAAAGTCATTTTTTATTGTTGCCAGAAATGTTTGTGCTTTCTTCTCTACTTCATCGAAGTGGATGATCGCATCAATGTCTGTCTGTCGAGTCAAATCATACTCGAGCCCGTGTTCTTGCTCTTCAATAGCTTGTATGATCTTAGGAGCCACCTGAGTGCTATGGAAAGATGACTAATTTCAACTCTCACCTGAACCACTGCGCGTGATACATCAGTAATCAGGTACCCTCCTGGAGGAGGACGATCAAAAACAGATGGTTTCGAATCACCGAATAAAACTACATGTAATACCCGCCGAAGCACCTCATCACCGATCATGCCCTGAGTAAGGTCATGTGAGAACTCAGCTGACGGTTGGGGCTCCTTGCTTACCTCTTTGACACGTATGTATGGCGCAGTATCCAAGACGCCAGCCGCCTTCCCTGACATAGCAGGCAAGTGGGCATTGTATAGGTCATATTCTTCTCGGATGCGAAACCTCGCTTCCTTTAAAGCAAGGCTTGCATGCTTCAGGTTACCCAAAATGGCCGAATTCCCGTCCGCTAGGTGATTATTAGGACACCGTAGCCCATACAATACTTGTAATGCATGGCTGGAGGATATGTATTTCCGAGCCTGTTCGAATGACATCCCTAGAGCAGGGGGAACATGTTCTGAAGGTCGATGGCGATTGCTACCTGCCTTTTGAACCGGTTGAGCGCCTATGGATTCAGATTGCGAGAGTGTGGGGAAGAACTGATGGTACATCGCTGTGACTGCATTTCGTAAAAGATTGCATGTCAACCGAACATCGAGGGAAGACGTATGTGCCCACAGTGCAGCATTGACATCGCTACCATTCCAAACGTGAGGGAATTCGAGGCGGGTTGAACTGAATGTCTGAGAAAAGATATGTGTTCGGTGAGCTTGATTGACGTGATGAATTAGGCCCGAGATCTGAATCACAGAAGGTCGTACTATAGCCAGGTAGAACGAGATGAGTGGGGCAAGGTTAGGAGGGAATGCCCACAGGCACTCTCGTGTAACTTGATTGATTTGCTTTGCTTCCGGATTCCCTATAACAAGCTCCGAGCCTAGTAGATAGAGATTACGAGCACTGCCAGTGCTGCTATCTGACTGGAATAGTAGGGATCGAAATTGCCAGTGACGAGGAGGAATACCGCATGTCAGGAGAAAGGCGACGATAATTGGACTAAGAATTCGTTCATCGAGATCCAGCCACTGTCTTGCGCATTCTTCATTGATCAACGAAGAAGAACACATGATATGATGTTTAGGCTCTTCTGGATCCATCAGACGTTGTAACATCATGTCCAACAGTGGCTGTAGAAGAACGCGATTGGAAGGCTGAAGGAAAATGGCGTGGGGACTACTGAGGTCGTCCACTAACTGGCTGAAAATACCATGAAACTGCTGAAGAAGGCCCTGGCAGCCGTCTGGAAGACATTCCATTATCTGTTCTGATACATCTGCTATTGCAGTCTCAGCTAATCTCCCAAGATCTGAAAAAAGGATACCATGGGAGATATCACGACCGTTTCTCATGGTAATGGCAGTGCCGTCTTCAGCAAAGATAAACCCGTAGTTTCTCTGCTCTTTTAACGCTGTCAACCTTGCGGCAAACCAGACAGTTTTCATTTGATTGTACGGTGTGGCAAACGAGGGGTGACTGGCGATCAAAGGCTGAAGGTAGGGTAGGTTCTCTGCCAAAATGCTGCAGGCAAAGTAGGTAAGCGTAATAAACTGTACAATCAAGCTTACTTTAAGACAGACGAGGATCCAGGAGCTTGATCATTCCTGGATACAAATTTTGCTGGACATCGTTGAGCTGGAAGGGAAGACTGAGAGTCATAGTATGTGTCTGAATATGTCGTTCATGTTAGTGCACTGTATGCCATCCTTAATTCGTGCCTCACCTAGGTTCTCTGCAGTGTCGCCGTTCAGATAGTAAGAATGGAAAGTTTCCTCTTTTTCAAAATCCCATTCGCCTTCGGCTTCATGCGGTAGCATAGACTCTCCCTCTTCTGAGCCCATATCATCGTTATGATCATCTACAAACTCTTCCTCCACTTCCTCAAATTGCACAATCACCGCACTATCATCGGCACCTTCCCTCTCATCCGGGGGGACCGGAGCAGCGGCTGACTCCTCCATAGGCTGAGACGCCTCACCTGTATCCGGCACAGGATCCAGGGTGAAATTATCCAAACGAAAAGGAATGAAACTTTGGTGGCCGTGGTCCTCAAGCCGAGCCGAGTGGACGATGACGGTATAGAAGTTGTGCTGCAGCACTGCACAGGTCTTGGTGGCAGTGGAAGCAAGGAGAAAGCCGCCATTGTCAGCCAGTGAGGCCATGCATAGGGCGTAATCTGTAGGGCATGCCATCATTTCTAAGTCCGTAAATTTCTGTTTGACGAGGGTCACCAGCAGTTGATGCAGAAGTTGGAGAAGTGCAGCAGGACGGGGAATCTTGGTTGTAATGAGGTAATGGTAGAGCATGTTAGCAGCGTACTCCTGGGCCAGACTCCGTCTAATGTGAAGAGTACCGAATACCGCCAAAGTCCCGGTGTGCTCTGCGTGGATCCATCTGATGAGCATACAGATGCAGCGAGATAGAGGTCTGGAGTAGGTGTAGTAAGAAAGTCGGCTCAGTGCTCTGAAATGCGCCTTCGTGCTGAGTAGACCATGAGCTATGTATAAATGGATGAGGAGGGTACTCACTGTAATGTCACTGCTTGACGAAACTGCACATCCCCTTTAGAAGACAGATAGGTCTGGATGTCAACTAGATATGACCTGTAAAGCTTTCGAACGGTGATGAGGCCGAGCTCAAGCTGCCCTTTTGCTCCCCTCAAGGATTGTGCTTCCTTCTTAGTCATAAGCTTTATCAGCCCACGAAGAGAGTCCGCTTGTGCGCCCAAGCTGGTGATGAAGTTGGGCCACCGGAGGTCAATTGAATATTGGGGGTAGAGAGGAGTTGTTGGTAAAAAATGAGAGGAGATTTGCAAGGGGGAGGGCAGTATATCTTCTACAGAAAGTACAGGAGTGAACCCTTCAGCCAAAGGCCAGACAAGTGAAACCAGTGGGTCGTTTGAATCCACAATTTTGTTGAATGGACGATAAATCCATCGAGTTTCAAAACTGTCAGCTAGATAAGTGGCCGCATGCTCGGGATGGACTGCAGTGACATGACTCCTAGTATTGATTTGCTGACTCTTGACAGAACCTCTCGATATCTGCATCAAGGACCAGAAGGAGCAGCCAGGGTGCGGACACATTGATGACCACAGTGGCTGAAGGCCTTGGATGGGGCCAGATAGGTCACCAGTAGGGCTAGGACAGGGTGTTGTTGCTACGAGTCCATGGCTCTTAAGTAGATGCTTGACTAAGCCCTCTCTATACACTGTTGTTCTGTTTGGGAGCCTACGTTTATGGTGATTATGCCCCACATGGCCACCTAGAAGGCGGGCTGGTACTAGAGCAGAACTGATCTTACAGATGAAACCATATGGCCCAAATGACATTCCTAACAGTTCAAGCACGGGACAGACGGAGGTAGGAAGGGAGAAGAGTAGTCCTAAGTGGTCTGGGGTATGGGAGTGCTCACAACAGGTAGGCCCACCAATTGATGTGGGAGAGGACTGGCCAGAAGGCCCATCCAGACGAGGGTGCTTTGGGACCTTATCACTATGTTGCATGCCCTTAGGCTGCCTGCGCTTTGCTGTGGGCATGTAATGTACAGTTCGGAGGGACTATATTGAACCAAAATAATTGGGGCGTTCTACGCCACATGACCATCCCGTTTTGTGTTTTGTACATATCCGTATTCCGCTGCTTCAGTCATGATTTTTTGCGGGGCCATCCGATCGCAAGCAATTGGTTTTTACCGGTACTACTCTATATATATAAGTCGCTCAAGGCCACATGCGTGGCAAAGCCCGCTACCTTCATAGTTTCTTTTCTCAAAACACGTCCGTCAAATACTGAATATTATGAATGCGAAAAAGGCGATGATTGCAACAAATCGTCACGAAAACAGGAGTTTCTTCTCCCGCAGCACAGACAATATATTCAAGAGACGCAAGAGATAATGTTGATGATAGAGAAACCGACATCTCTCGAACTATATAACCAAGCAACGAAGGAACATCCAAAAATCCTTCTGTGCCTGCAATCATTCTTTATCAAGGCACAGCGCCGCCTTAAATCGGGAGTGTCCACGTAGTCAACGATAGACTATTCATGAGGACACACTGCGAATATAGATATCTCAAAGAGCATCTGATTGGCATTGAGATGAAAGTCCATGTAAATGTGGTCGTCAGTGCTATCGGAAGTATCGGTCACCTCCTTGAGATACAACTTCGAAGGAACGACTATGAGCGTACTCAGAGACTAAGCCACACGGGTTGTACTCCATAATGACGACATCACCGATGTGTTACGAACAACAAAGCTATAGGACGTTCCCGAAACCTCCTACTGTCCTTTGTCAGTCCTTTGTCATTTAGCGGGCCCCATCTGCACCCGTACCTCCTTCGATAGCCTGTCACAGGATTCCAGATGTCGCATTCACATTATTCATACAACTGTCATTTGGATCGTTATGCGCCCGCACACGGCCCCAGCATTTTCCCTTTAGATCTCACATGCCCTTTCCCGGCTTGACCTTAGTGCTTTCAATGTCCCAGTACTCCTGCGCGTAATCTTGGATCGCACGATCAGAACTGAACTTGCCCATCTGTTCCAAATTGAATTATTCCTTGTTACGTTTCTTACTGGAATTGATAATTCATATCTTTGCGGTCCGATACTCTTCTTAATCCACTCAGTTCGGTCATTATAGGGTTCGTCTACCATGCGATGAGCGTCAATGTCTGAAAAGGGTTCATCAGGGACGTTATCGCTCACCCTGTATGTTGCTCACAGCAGTCAAATCTTCAATGATAAGATGTCAGTCTCCCTGACCAATCGTGTTGAGCAGGCTGTTCAAAGAAATAAGTGAATTTCATCATACGCTTGTTGTAACATTACTTATGGCTCGTACACGCCTCTGTCGCCAAACAACCCAGAGCAGATCTCGTTAAGGACTTGTGTAAGAGCAGGGGACTTCTGCTCGACAGGAACGGGGTGGTATACGTGTTGATAGGTCTTCCACTGCGGGTGTGTCAGATGATCGAAGAAGACTACAAAAGAACAGTAAGTCTGTAACATAGGCAATACATGCATGCCAGACTACGTACAAACGTTCCTAGGGCCAACTTCCTCCGCGACCTCGATCTTCGCACCATCTGTCCAAATAGTCAGATCTTTATGGAACTGAATTAATACCATAGTACACATACTCACTGCCGTTGGTCACATTTCCAAACCTTGCGCACAAAACCGCATGCGCTAATTCAGCTTCGAAATTGAAATTACTTGTTAGCTCCGTAAAAATTCTTTGAAATAGCCATCTGAACCACTTCACTATGCAGCTGGAGGGGTAATGGTACATATTCAGACGGATGATGGTTACTTAGTGAAGATTTACCTCGGCCACGCCGTTGACTTTGCGACTGCCTGTACACACACACACACACACACACACACACACACACACACACATTAGTAGGAATATGAAATGAGTACTGCAAAGCTCACCAATGCATGCCAGGTGAGCCATGCGAACGTTCTCTAAGAAAATCTTTAAGTCATGATTCATTGGTTGCAATATTACAATACCTTTGAGCAATGATATTCGTGCAAGCTTCCTGTCCGAGGGGAATTTTCGTTCAATAGATGTCGAAAATATCAGTCGGACACTCGACATGGAATCAAGTGTGTCTTTCTGCGCCGTACCTTGATCCTCGAGCGAGAGACTCCCAGTGGCAGTGCTGAAAACAAGTCAATCGTCATTCTCCATAAGACTTTGGTTTACATAAACTTTACTCACATGCTCGCGTGTAAGTAGCACCGCCCGGACACCAAATTTGATGGTCCCGTCCACCAGCTCGAGGTCTTCGTCTCTAGTTTCTGAAGCCCTGCTGGGGTTACCCATCACCTCCGATTGCTCGAGCAGGCGTCCAGTGGTAATTGAGATCTCGTGCGACTTAGAAACGGTCTTGCGCGCCTTGTTGACGACGACTTTGGCGCGCTCAGGGGTTTCGGGACGGGCAAGGGCGGGCCAGAGCTCGACGGAAAGTGGGATCGCCTCGTAGTATGGGAGGAGTATGCGGGCGTCCGCAGCTGATTCTTCAAGGTTGACAGCTTCCCGAAAGGAGCTAATGCTATTCTCTAGTGCTGTGCAATGTGAATGAATTGCGGTAAATTCAACGAAAAAATTATATACCTTTACGCAGAACGGGTTTCTTCGATTAACGTCACGTCAAAGGTCCTGTAGGCCAGATATTGACGCTCTGGCCGAGGTGTTCAACGGCATTGGCAAGAATGACTTTGCATCGCCGTCGTTCTATAAGGCATACCGGCGACAGCGCAGGGGGTACCGCGGTTCACGTACGTGTAACCTTCCGAACCGACCATCATCGCTTTTGGAACGCCTTTGGCAACCTGCTTTGTGAGCTCCCTTGCGGCAAATGTACAGCCAGCGCGTTCTTCCAAACGTGCAGCTGCAATACGATGTTTAGGATTTGACTTGATGAGCGAGTCAAACGACGTACGAGCAAGCTTGATATCGCCTACTTCAGCTCCAACCTTGAGAACGACTTAGTGGTGTGAGGTAGCCCTTTAGATCGAAAGAGGTAGCAGGGCCGGAGGCAGTGACTGTCCCAGTAATCCAGGACGCAATGGGCGTGGTACAACGAGGACTGCGAAAAGCAGACTTACCTGATCGAGCTTTGAGGTCGTAGTGCCGCGGTCGGCAGGGGTCTAGACGTCCCCCTCACCTTAGCCTGGGACTTGGTAAGCTCACGCGGAGGGTCCGCAACCTTGGACCCCGAAGGCAGGGCCTTACTTGAGGGGTCAGCAGCGCCCTCGAGCTTTACCTTCTTTGCAGGGGCAGCACCTCGCAGGAATCGGCTGACGCGTGGCCTCTGAACCGCATTCAGCAGTCAAGCTTGGGACCATCTCAATTCACTGCAAATAAGTTCGTCAGAGGCTTCAAAGATGCCAAGGTAAATTCGACAGCAAGGGGCAAGCGCAAAAGGCCGCGCAGGTAGCTTCGGGGAGAACGGCCGTACCGAGCTTCTGCGACAGCCAAGCGCGACGCGCGACGCCGAGCAGCGCGCTCAGCTTGGGGGCAAACGGCCGTACCGAGCTTCACAACGTCGCCACGGCGTGAGGCTCACAACCAGCGCCTGACAGGTGCCAAAGAAACAGCCCCAAGAAAGTGGAGAAAGGGGCGCGCCTCGAATCAAAGCTAGGGACTCACCCGTCTGCTTTATGCCCATGGCCAGTGCTTGCTTCTGCAACTGGCCCCTCCAGTTGCCGAGTGCACACTGTGGGAAGTAAAAACACTGAAAATAAATGTAAAAAGCACTACATGACAAATATCAATGACGCAGACACTGAAAAAGGCAGCAGTTATTTTCAGTGCCCACGTGACCATCATATCAATCAGTACTAAATACACTGACTAATCAAACCAAGCTTTTCAGTGTCGGTACTTTCAGTGGTGAAAACGCTGATTTGTTTTCTCAGCGTCTAAAGCACTGGTGATGTTCTCCATGACTGTAGGCCTCTACACATGGTCTCCATCCTCGTAAAGGAGTTTAAGTTTTCTGGTATTGTGCATGGTTTGGGACGTGCCTTTGAATGGGAACTCTTTTGCTGCCGGTCATGCAGGAATATGAAAAGGGAAAATCATCCTATGCACATTTGAGGCATGCCACTGCCAATTTGGGCAAACACATTTGTCACGTGATAGATACAAACAACACGTCAACAAAGGACTTCTTCGCAATCGTCCTCTCCGTCCACTATACCAAAAACAAGGCCATTGAGAAGTTCAATAGGTGAGTTGAGCATGCTCTCGCAGCTAAGCACTATATACTCAGGCTATACTCTGTTTCTCCCCAACACTCCATCTTGAACAGTGCCTCTAGGAGTAAGCGCTACCTAATGAGCAATTTGTGTTATGGGACTCCCAGGGCCTCTCTCAAAAGGAGGGAACTGGTGCGTAATGATCGTTCATTCTTATTTTAAGGTGGACAAGTTAAAATTTGATGCATATACTCACTATAACTGCGCATATAGCCACTCAAAGGCCCACACCAGCACCATGCGCAAACGCCCAACGCACGCCAGCAAGTGCTGACGTGGCGCGAACACTCGCGGATGACACCAGGACGCCGAAGACACGAAAAGGACGAGAGGCGGCACTCATTCTTGCTCATCGCACTCTCATTCTCACTCGCACGCAGCGCTTGTAGACTCGGCTCTGGATGGGGAGTCACAGTGAGTGAGTCTGTCAATCCTCTCTCGAGCTCAAGCCATGCTGATCCAAGCTGTTCCCCGCCATTTGCAGTGAGTGAGTCTGTTGGTTTTCCTTCGAGCTCAAGCCACGCTGATCCAAGTTGCTGCCTGCCATTCGCAGTGAATGAGTGTGTCAATCCTGCTTTGACTGGAGCCATGCTTATCAAAGTCGTTGTCTGCCGTTCACAGGGTGTCGATCCTCTATCAAGTGTGAGCCATGCTGATTGATGTCGTTGCGTACTGTTCACAGTGTCTTAGTGAGTCCTTTTTTACCATCGTTTTTTTTTCACTCTTGTTTGTATTCCGACAGTTTCGGCGACATTCTCGCACGTTTGCGTTCATTTTATGCGAGCTCAAGACGACGCTGATATACTTCAAAAAGGCAACCGTCCTCCTTGCTACAAGTGGTGTTTTCGTCAGTACGAGCTTCATCACCTGCTCCATATTGTCTACTCTTTATATCTCTCACCCCCCAGCTTGTCCCAGAACTCATTCTCCGGCAACTCCACTGTAGGCTCAAGCTCAGCTGCGCTCAACAAGGGCAAGTGCGTAACATTGTGCGGTGCTCTCATCCGAGTCATCCCAGCAGATCCTACAAACCAATTTAGATGCGCTCAAGAGTCAATATCATTTCCCTGACACTCGATTACTGCGTTTGAAGCAACGGCAGCCATACACCTTGTTATTCGATATGCTCTCGCTTTGGACTCTTTTCACAGATCCTGGACGCAAGCTAGTTACCTTTTTTGACTGCCCATGCGTCATGTATCACTCTCAAATTAGTCTATTGTAATCCTATTCATAATTGTCAGCATCGCAAATGGTGTTTTTCAGTGTTTCAAGGAGTATCACGATCTTTGTTGTTAATCCGATTTCAGCGTTGAAAACACTGAAAAATGTCACTTTCACTGTTCTAAACACTGAAATTTTGCACATCTTATCTTCTGGTTCTGATGTTGACTGCGATTCAAAGATACAAAACCGTGAAAGTCAGTGTTTTGGACCCTGACTTTCAGTATTTAAAACACGGATTTCCAGTGTTTTTACTTCCCACAGTGTGCAAGAAGTAAGTGGTGCGGTAACTGCCGCTTAGATCATATGTTTGTTCATATTATTTTGGTTCTTATCGATCGTTAGTACCTACTCTCTAAGGCTACATTGTCTAAAGCCCATCCTTTCCATCGCTACTCCCTGCGTCCCGCCTGGGTGAAATAGACTTGAGGTAGGAAAAATCACAGTGCGGTGGTCTTTACCAACCTTACCGGCTTCAGCCTGCGATCGTGATCAATAACTACACCATTTGGCAACACGGTGATTGTCATCATAGTATCAACCTCAGACAATTTTTTTTTTCACTTTATCATCGCCGCGACCTCCAGTGATCTCGCAGGTCTACATCGAAAGGTATGTACAGCTACTTTCAACATCATCGGATGGAATTAAATCCTTGCCACTACTAGTATTGGTACTCACACGAAGAAGCTGACGCGAAGATGATAAACTTGACCTTTGAGGAGAGGTTTTTTCCTACCGCAAAGGAGCTTACAGCGAGGGCGGAGAAAGCTCTTGACGACGTCGTCGCCCGTCATGCAAACGATACGTCTTCCGTACCGTATCTTCATTTCACATCCCATCTATGAAAAACATAGAGGGAATTAACGACTGGAGGTCGACGGACAGCAAAGTCCCTACTAGCAAATTGAAGGGCATCATCACAGCGCTCCACCGCGACTTTGAGGAGCGAATTGGCAGCGTTATTACAGGATTCCAATTAACCTTTAATATGACCAAGAGCAGGGCAGAGATGGACTTGCAGCGCCACACTGTTGTCACTACCATACTACCGGGCGCCGATTTTTAGATGGGCACTTAAAGGTATGTGGATTGTATTCGCATGCCCCTCACGCTGATGTTTCGGGTTCTGATTAGAGGTGGATGAACGAGAACGAGCGCCATAAAGGGTGCTGACTCGTTCACTGGAGATAAAGAGAGAACGTCCAACTATCTCATCCAAGCTATGCACCATATCTAGGGTTTTGAACTACGGAGTACTAGCTCAGAATTCGGTCGAGTAATGACAATTTCGTCTCACTTTCGCTCGCATAATAAAACCTAGATGCTAATCGTTTCACCGTACGCGGGACGCAGGCTACAAGACCAAGTGCCAGCGTTGCTACCAAAATTATCAGTTTAAGGCCAGGCGGTCGCATCGCAGCAGGAGCCCCCGCAACTGATCCAAGGCTCGTTGTACCTCGTTAATGCGAACCCTGATCGCTCGTGGTCAGCGGGTGCAGCAAACAGTTCATTCCGAGGATATATGGCCTTTGTTTCGATTATGGTTGCCGTACCGTTTCAAGCAAGTTCTCTCAATATCTACTGTATCTCACAAATTCTGATACTAGCCCACTCTGCGAAGAATTCTCTAGGAGATGGCGGATTGTATTCGGCGTGGGCTGGCATCTTAAATTACTGGTTATACTGGTACTGCGCAAGGGAGAACCATGTCGCAGGTACCACCGATGATACCAGGCCAGGCGATCCAAGTTCCCGCCTTAGAACCTGCAACCGCCGAAGCAAGGATCGATGCTCATACTAGAAACCAAGAATTGAACGCAAGACCACTATTTTCACGACCTGGTACGTAACTTAAACTACTTAGCCGCGGTGAATGAGCGGTTTGAAGTTGTCCAAATTGAGCAGGGGTAAATTTTCAGGCAATTATGTTTAGATTGTTAGGTGAGTTTACGTCTTTTTCTTCTCTCAACTTCCAAAGCTATCGGACTAAAAACCTTCCAGATCGCGCTCCCTACTGCGGTCTGGCTTTGCCAGACCTTCTCCACCGACTACGAAGGCGAAGCCTTCGTGGTCCAAACCACACCCCTCGGATCTCGTCTCCACACCCGACTAATCACTTCCTTTCCGTCAAACCAACGTGATACTGTACAAAGCTATTGATCACTGGCACGCCACTGCAAAACAACAATTTCAAGGGTGCTAACTGGAGCTTCAAAACTCAATCACCTGGTACTACCATACTACGTGGCAACTGATCCTAATCGATTACAATCCATCGATGGATTACAATTTGTAAGTCCATCCGATTAACGAGACCAACTAAGACTTAAGTCGATGGTTTGAAATCTGGTTTTTCCGCTGTGCTGCGAACAGTTCATTTCGCAAAATTGTCGGTAGTGAAGACCCGCTGTCTTTGGTGGTCTGGCCTTTTACAAAGACTATGCTCCTGCATCCTCAGCGCAAGCTGTTGTGGTGGTGAGGTCCTCTCCCACGTGCATAGTCAATACCTGACAGACCTTGGGCGGCAGAAATTTATTGCTAGGTCGGGCCTCCGCTCTTCGTGGGCTGATAAAGCTTATGACTAAGAAGGAAGCACAATCCTTGAGGGGAGCAAAAAGGCAGCTTTAGCTCGGCCTCATCACCGTTCGAAAGCTTTACAGGTCATATCTAGTTGACATCCGGATCTATCTATCTTCCAAAGGGGATGTGTAGGTTGCATGAAGCCGAAGGCAAATGGGACTTTGAAAAAGAAGAAACCTTTCATTCTCACTATCTAAACGACGACACTGCAGAGAACCTAGGTGAAGCGCAGACTAGGGATGCCATACAGTACACTAATATGAGTGAGATATTCAGACACATATTATGACCCGCAGTCTTCTCTGCCAGTTCAACGGCTCAGGTATATCGCAGTCCCGGGTCAATCTCGGTCTTAAGGCAGGCTGTTGTGTGCTGCTTTCACATTCGGGATCATACTTACCTGCATGGCCCCTCTAGGAGCTGGCGCACAACTGCATGATATCGCACACCAGCCTCATGTTTGGCAAGATGCTCGTAAGTTTTTTCGAAACGTCGTCAAGGCGGAGTGCCTTGAGATTGTTACGATACGCGAGCGGCAGACACGCACATCTTACCTCACGAAGATTCTTTAGGACGCGCAACTATCACATAACACTCAAGGGGGTCTGTACAAAAGATGTGAAATGGCAAGGTGAGCATGACATCAATACGCCGTGATATTGTACAAAGCTATTGATCACTGGCACGCCACTGCACAACAATTTCAAGGGTGCGCGTTACTACGACTGAGTTGTGGCGATTTTTGCTGACGCCGCATCGCGTGCAGAGGCGTTTTCATTGATGCACTTCCTGATACCTGAGAGGTGTAGGTTCTGTGTCATATTCTTATCATAGTCGCCTTGACCGACGAATCCCATCTTAACGACGCGGATCACGAAGTCAAGGTCAAGGAGCTGCATCAACAACTCGAGTCACTCATGCTCCACCGACTGAAACTTGATGTCCTTACTTCCTTGCCTACAAAAGAGTGAGCGCATCCTTCGAGTAGAAATGTCTCCGCAGACGCATTTTTACAAGAAAGCAAATAGGAAACAGAAAGGAGACGAAACTATCAAAGCACAACAACACAGCATGACGTAGTGGACACAATTGCGCCCGAGTCGGCGGTATCTCGTGCTTAAAATATTGTAGATATCCTGACAAAGGTAGGCTTATATTGGGCTGGCTATCAACTCTCGCTCATCCTCGTCCAGAACTTCCAGGGGTTGGTGGAGAGTGCAAATGGGAACAACAACGTCAACCTTGCGATGGAGCTCAAAAAAGCTGCGAATCACCGACGGAGCCGAAGTGCGCACTGACGTTGACGACGACACTCTCAAAGGCCTTGCGGAGAGATGGTTCTCCTTGACAAGCTCCTCGTACGCCTTCGGCAAGGTGGTCATCGTGTGCTCATCTTCAGTCAGATGGTCCGGATGTTAGACATCTTGAGTAATTACATGAGCCTTCGTGGATACCAAACATCAACGTCTGGATAGCATGGTCGTAATTTCTAGCCACATCATTGGTAGTGTTAAGATCATGCTAGGACTGGACGTTATTACTGCTTGGTTTTCAGATTACATTGTTCATGGGACGCTTACCATCAATCCGTTCTCCCCAGCCCAAAATATTTGACAACCCACGCCGCCACCTCGACAGGATTCCAGACCTTTTCCCTTCCAACTGCGAGATCTCCGCACTCTCCCTCTTCCTCTGCCTCTGCCTCTGCCTCTCCATTTTCCTCTGCCTCTGCCTCTCCTTCTCCCTCTGCCTATGCTTCTTCCTCTGCCTCTTCATCTCCATCTCCATCTCCCTCCTCTCCGCCACTATTTTCCGGGCGTGATCAATGCTACAGCATTTCTGATCCGTTCTCCAAGAGTGAGCACGCACGATCGGACACCACGATGGCACACTTACCGCATCTTGGGGCGACATCGTATAAGATAAGTGTTTATCGATCTATCGATGATGGTTTGGCGTTTAGGTACTGACGAGGAATAGAGTCTACGGCGTCGATTTCCTTTTCCAGCTGCGGTCCGCCTGTGCATGTACGGCCGTTAGGTCCTGACGGAGATTCAAACCCAACTTAACGGTACGGCCCAGAAAGACAGACTTAATTCCATATCGAGTGTCCGACTGATCTTTTGGACAGCTATTGAACGAATATCATTAATCAAAGGTATTGTATCGTAGCAGCGCTAGGAAGCGCCAGTCCCCGACTTCAACTTCGGAGTTCCAGAAATGACGATGGATCAGTAGCAAGCAGTTTATCGATCAACAGTCGAGTATGTACAGTAATCAGACACCTCGTAGATGAGATGCAGCACTACAAATTTCACAACGGTATTTGAGCCAGGCCAATCATCATCAGCTTCCAGCTCCATACCAAAGATGTCACGGCTCCAAGTCTCGGCCGACACCTCCAAGCTCTCAGCAGATGACTGACCTTCGAGCCCATCAGTAGCCTTCTTTTTAGCTCACCTAGCTCATCCCCCCCCCCGACACGTCACGTGACTTTCCCGCCGGCATCCAAAACAGGTTATGACGGTTGTCCTCTCAAGGTTTGCTTTGATTTCGAACATTTGATTGGATTCGGAGAACGTTTTGGTTTCATTTGTAGTTGAGCCATCGAGGAACCTAGCTTATGTGAGCCTAGATGGCCAAATATAAAAATTCAAAAAAAGACGAGCTGGGAGAGCTGTGTATTTGCTGTGTATACCTAATATGTGTATTTGACTTCGTCTGTCGCTGAGCTGTGTCTGCTTCAGCAATGGGCTCGCCCCGCTGGAACTGATGGGAATTGTGTGGCTGAATGCATAGCCCTTGAAGTCAACATACTGGCCATCATGCTTCGAATGCTCTTTAAAGTTCTGCCAAAGAGTGGGACGCCCATTCCCTTCTCACACCACTTCTCAGTGTACCCCACCGTTTCTTTCACAACGATCTAAATATACAACCACTCGCGATGACTGGAGATCATAGGCCGGATATCGATCCTCCTCGAGAAACTTCCAGATTCAATCAGGCAAATGTAGTTGAAAGCTTGGTACGTGGTCTCTTGAAATCTATCGTCGTCCTTACGCATTACTCATCCAGAACCAACCTCGTAGAGGACCTTGTCAGTTCCTGCGGAAATTGAAGAATGGGTTAACCAAAAAGCTTCCTGTGCGTAGACGTGAATACTGTTCGTCCTGAATACGGCTAAGATTGTACAGAAACGCTCCAAACGAACACGCAACCGCACCACTGTGATCCACGACGTCGCAATGGCTTCATCGAGTCAGCAAGCCGAGGTAAGTGCTCGAACTTGCTACCCTAGTCCTTCAGTTTTCTTAGAGGCGCTCAGGACACGTTGCATCTCCATCCTTGCAACGACAACAAGCATCCCACCACATCTGATATTCCAAGTGACTCCGTGAACCAAAGGCTGCCCGGAGAGCCTGCTCCGGAGGTATCTCAATCAAACACTCTGATTTTCTTCTTTAATTTTGGTGGTACCACAGGTTCAGGCTGCTTCTTCTGGCGAGGAAGGAAGACCTGATCCCCAATTAGTTGACGCCAAACTTCAGGGTGCCCGTGGTGGTACACAAAACATGCGATCACTCGGGAAACATGCGACTTCTGTCGCATCTGCCATTGACACTGGCCCAGCGGATCTTACTGCTGCAGATGATTTTGAAACGACGTATCTCCAACCCCTCAAGATTATCGATGCTGTCCTTGAGAAGATTGCAGATGTATGGGTCATTCTTGTTGTTTGAAAGGGAACTAATCAAGTTGTCAAGTTGTATAGGTACATCCGTACGCAAAGATGGCGCTAGGTGCGCTATCTGCTGCATCCAAGGTATGTTTGGTTTCTCCCGGAATTCAGTTTCCTGCTCAGAAGTTCTTTTTCCATGAAGATCATAATCGCGTAGGCACAGCGCGATCAATCGATTATTAGTCTTCTCAAGAAATTGGCTGAAGTTTACCGCTTCATGGCTCAAGATGACAGTCTTGAAAAATTTGAATCGACGTGCTGTATCGTTGAAAAGATCCTTCACCAGACTCTTGAGTGCGCCCGTTTCATCAGGGACTACTCGGAGACGAAGAGCTTTTGTGAGTCACCAAGCTATCGTAATTGTATATGAATCTTATACTATATCGTAGGGAAGAGACTCGGGAAAAACGTTATCTCGGAAACTGATGACACGATCAAACAGTACAGCGACGCTTTGGACGGCCTTATGCAACAATAAGTCGATCGGGACGTGGCCATCTTCGTCCAACGTGCAGGTAAGGATTCTGATACGCCTCTGTCTTTACATTCACTCAGACCATTTCAGGCGACACCCTGGATCTCGGGGATATCGCTTATGCAAAGGGCCCAGGACTAGATACCATGAAACAGTGCTTACAAGGGACGCGCACGGGGATTCTTTCCCAGATTACAGACTGGATCAATGGCAGCGGAGATGCTGCTCAACGGGTGCTGTGGCTATCTGGCCCTGCGGGCAAGGGCAAATCAGCCATCGCCCACACGATTGCCAACTGGTTCAAGGAATCGGGAGGCCTTGGTTCATGTTTTTGTTTCGATCGGCACAGAGAAACACTCTTCTTTGCCAATGATTCCCCATCGACCCTGATCGACCTCCATCAGTTCCCAGATTTGTCACATGTCGGTGACTAGACTTGGGCCCCAGGTATGATCGATCTGCTATCGGACTTATGGAAAGAGTGTCGACCATAAATCTCCGCTGTATCTGTCCGACCCTCGCGCGCGCGTCGTATGGCCACGCGATCGTTAAGTTTTTCTCATCTACATCTTCACCGGGCCTCTCTCAAGCGCGCAGAGCCGCTGTGGTCAGGAATTGTTGCTGGTTGCATTGCATCATAGCATAAATAGATCGCATCTCAGCCACTCCTTGGTTCTGTCCCCCCAATATAGGTTAACCAGACTATAGGCCCATTATATCCGATTTTGCTAGCATCCTAGTGCCTCGATCGGTGTTCAAACTGGACCGAAACGTTGCGTGTGTTATTTGTTTGACACTGTTGTATATCATTCTTGGTACCGCTCCGTCTTCCAGGGACTCTGCCTTCCATGGTTGTTAGAGCAGATGAGCGGTTTTGCAAAACAGGTGATGTTTACCTCGGTCTTCAAGAGCACTCCTCTGCAGCTTCTGAAATAAATTGCAGTTATGTTTATCCTGTGCAGTGTTTCTGATTGAACACGACGGGCGGGACTTTCTTCATTGTGGCCACGGGAACTGCGGTTACCTGGTTTCCGTGACCAATGCAGACGATATCGGACACTATCGGTATTCACTTTGGCTGCCTCGCGGCATGTCGTTGGACCTGCAGATTTAAATACGCATAAGTTGTGCTACAGGACAGACAAGTACTCTTCACTTTTCCAGCTTTACAAGACTTTAATCTGTTGCCTGCACATAATGTCGCGTACGTTATCGCATCTAGATTATCACTGAATAATGCTGATATTTCTCCAGGTTACACTGTTGCCCTGAACAACCGCAAATCCAGCCTTTGCTTTATTAAAGCCAGGAGATGCTAATTGTGCCACTGTAAAGACTATCAATCCCGCCACAGGCTTCATGCTGTCACCTGGGCTGAGGTTCAGTCTGGGCCGCCGCATGCTCTCATGGACAATGACTTGTACAAGGCACGTGTTTGTCAACAGCGCAAATACTTGGTCTGTTCTTTTGCGAGAGGAATGTCGCTAGACTTTCGACAACATAAATCTACCTACGTGTTGGCCTCTTCGATTTGCGACCTCGAGGTAAACATAGCCGCTGAGTTTAATCTCTCTCTCAAAACGGAAATACAATTACCGTGTTGTGGCCTGTTGTGGCTTGCACAAAGCCATCATCATGTCACGGCGGTTTACTCCACACATAGTCGCAGGTTTAACAGGTATGAAGCAGAGTCGTCTCAATCTCTGGCATTATTGTTATATCCGCTGTGAAACTAACCAGGCGTCGCCTCGGGTGTATACGTATTCCAACCTCTTTTCGAAGAAGCTGCTGCGAAGTGAGTTTGCCATGCATATTGTGCGAACCTATCCCAACTTAAATTGCCATCATCAGCCGAAACCCAATCCCTCCAATGAACGCGTCAGCAACATCACCCTGGGTGCCAGGGAAATCCCTTGCATCTTCGCCGTCGCCGCATTCTTCGGTAGAGTGACATTACACTGCGCTAGCACTATATGGAATAACGTGCAGCAGGGCATGCGCCCCTAAAGGCGTGCCCACGCACTCTTTGATCAATCAGAGAGGTGTGCTAGTTCATGGTCGCCGCGGAGAACGGCGGCCGTACTCGGAACACCTTGTGCCGGGAAAAGGGGCGTAGATAGTTCAGTGCATTTTCATGTGTTGTCTTGGACGATTAGTAACGCGCGAGCTTCGCTGAGCTCCATTATGTAAAATGCGCTGGTGTGTATCATGATATGTAAGATGTATGTTTGTATCTTATTGAGGGCGGGGATCCTATATACTGTAAGTCGAAACCCTGGTATCTCCTCAGCCTACCCAACGCTTCGGTATCACCGTCGATCGACAACCATTTTCATTGACGCGTCACCATCGGCGTTCGCAGCACAAGATTGACCCGGCGGACGTGCGCTGAGCCGGAGAGTCTTGATTGCCATACTTGGTGCGAAGTATTTTATGTAACTTCAAGTTTCTAGTCTCCCTCGCGTCTGATAGTGCGAACCATTTTGCAAATTGCTCTAAGGTGTGAGATCTTGAGAGCCTCGCAGATTCAACGTCTACTTCAGCTCTCTTTAATATATCGTGTTTCCCCTTCGTGTCCCACGGCACCCAATTCTATTCAGGTTATGTGGGGGCCGGGCTCATTAATGCATCATGATTGGTGAGCAGTCCGGGGATTCGCCCTACCTTACAGCTGACTATAGGCCAAGGATGCATCATAGCTGCAGCGTGTGGACTCATGTCACTCGGTCTTTATCCAATATTGACCTGCAGAGTTGTAAGGCTCTATGAGATATCCTTTGGGCAGTATATGTTCTACTTGCGATCTTTTCCGCGAGATTAAGTTTTTCGTGAGCACTACTTTGTACTTTAATAATAAAAGAATTGTTGATGTCAATTTTCATCAACAGTCTTGTGAGTGCTCCACACGATGCCGATACCATGATGACGTCAATCTTTTCGAAACAATTCAATGATAGGGTTATATCGGTCTGCCCTCATCTCGTGTCGACGTAGCACGTCCCTCGAGTGCACAACTAAACTCCCCTGGTAAGTCGATAGACTTGTCCCTAGAATCCTACACGGGCTCATTTAGAAAATAGGCAGACGCTGGCAAGTTACATTTGTGCTATCGTCGTGTACTTTGTAATGATCATGGGCCACAAAGCCGGGAGCGTTTATGTCAGGGAGTGCGCTATATTTGGTCGTCCATGAAGTCTAGTAACAAGCCATCAGTTTTCTTTGTTCAGTGGTACGTTTCTCCCAGTCGCTAGCGCTCGGGATGATACTTATTTGTTTCAACAGAACAGTTTCTATGCGTACCGGGTGTGAATCAGTGAGTCCTTTAGGATCTGCGAGAGTAAAGGTCTCAATGCGCTCTTTTAGTCACGGGCAACGATCATTGGATCGCAGGCATAGTTGTGAGATCACATTTTTATCATTTCTTTCCTGGAGAGTTATAACACAGACCGTCAGTGTGCGCTCACTACTACAACATTCAGTGAGCTTTTTCGAACAGTCGTGTCCTTCTCTGACTTTTGGACGCTATAGATTGTGCCATGAGTTACATAAATCTTTCAATTCTGGCGTCGCTGCTCTGTCGTCGTCCTGGTTTCTAGTCGTCAGTGGTTTAGTGTGAGTGCTTGATTTGATCATTGAACTTATACAATCTCTCACTTAGGTGCCAAAGAGTATACACAAGAAGCTCTGAAGTCAGGTTCACCACGAAGGTCGGCCAGTCATAGCATAGTTTTTGAATAAGTCTAATGAGTCCATACCTCGAATCAGTGGTCGCCAATAGCAGCATTCACTAACGCATTACGTGATTCTGTAAGCACAGGATCTATATGGTTGTTCATGCGACCAGCACGAACGGGTAATGTTTGGTGCGTGGTCACTCTACTTCACCTGTTGTCTGACCCATCCAGGATTCTATAATGGAAGGAGAAAATCAAGACAGTACATCAACGCCACGATGTGGATTTTATCAGCATGGGTTTATTTTTGTGGTATGTGCAATTCTCTGTTGGAGTACGAGACCGAGAGATCCGAGGCCAGGGGGAGATCCGAGTCGAGAGAGTCCGAAGGATCCGAGTGATAAGGGGAGAATGGTTCGAGCGCGCGCCAAAACGGACGAAGACGAGCGACGTATGACGTCGGCTCGCGTCCTAGTTTATTTTCAGTCTCTCATTCATATGTTCCAGTACCTGACCAACTTACTATAAGATTACCAGCAGTACCGCAGGTGCATCTCAGTTTTCGTTCGAGACAACTGAGATGTACGTGCCAACAAGTCCCTAGAGTTTACGACGCATCTAATGTTAGTTATAGCTTGTCTTTGTCGTTCTAGGTAGACGCACCGTTATAGAGTTTTCGTTCGAGACAACTGAGATCTTGTCTTTGTCGTTCTAGACTCCTCGTGACCCTCTTGCTCGTGAGTCGTCATAAACGCCTTTATTCTCCGTACCGGTTGTACATTCCATTTCACACGGTTCCTAGTATTGTAGCAATCACCGTGACCGGTTGTTGTCCACACTTGCAAGAAGAGGGATCAAGACTGTTTCAGTATACGTGTCAAGACAGTCTGATCGGGCAATTCTATACCGCTGTGCCCGGAGCGGTGATAGGGAGGTGTCAGCATGTTTCCTTTGCGCTGTGAAGGCACTAAAACCTTCGTCATAGCCTATATGAACTCGATGATGGCGGCGGTGTGAGTGACATTGTTTCTGTATGCGAAGCTCGTTGAGGCAGTAAATTGGTGGTCAGGCTCAATGCTAGAAAGTCCATCTACGAACGGGAACAACTTGGCTACAACTTAACGGAGCTTCCTACAATACCTACGATACAGTGATATTTTTTGTCCTTATCAATCAGACCTTCGGGCGGAAGTCACTTCCGCGCACCTAACCTCATTATAGAATTTCAAACAGAGGGTGTCAATGCCAGTATGTATCTCTACTTTCCCAGCGTTTCGTCCGTTTCTTCTAAAACGAACACCCCAAGTCCAGGACAATTTTTTCGCGATTCTCGACATCGGCGGAACGCTAAGCGGAGTCTCTGATGCAGGCTATACCTTTGGTCTTCCTGGGATATTCAATTTCAATGGCACAAAATACGACGTATCCACTCATAGGTTCATATTCTCAGCTCACCTGAAGCTGTTTTGTAATGATGCGTTGTGTACCTATAGGGGATTGTGCCCACCATCGAGGGCTATTCCTGCTCGAATGGAGTCCTGGGTGCCGATGGCACTCGTCTTGGGTTTACTGGTGGAAAGGTCACAGTCAACACAGTACCACTGCCAAGAAAACATACCAGCGTGTCTATTCCTCAAGGATTCAGCAGGAACTATTCCATGTGGCAGCAGGGGTTAACAGCCAAAGTCAGCTGTCAGCCCATTAGCACATGAGTAACTCCTCCGTCATCTATTCCAACCCAGCTAATTTGTACAACTCCATCACTGGTCTTCGCCTGTGGAATATAACTGCAAACTGCGGTGCCAGTGAGTTCCGACCGTATATATATTACCTCTGATTTACTGTCAGCTTCTAGATATGCCCACGACGCAGGAATATGTGACCGTGGTGAATGCAAGTGGAGATGCAGACCAGTCAGATAGTGGCTTTCTTCCTTGCCTCGTGTGCCCGGGGCCTTCGGGTCTGAATCAAAGTTATACAAGCGTCAGTGAGCCATTGAACTATGTGTTTGTAGTCATTGACCGATTCTTTTCCTATAGCGATTCTTTCACAAGGATTTTATAAGTATAGGTTCCTTGACGCAAGTGTATGCGAAGTGGTCCCAATGCTAACCACAGTCCGCGCCGATTATTCCAATGGCCTAATTTTTTCCGAGGTCGTTTCATCCACCCCCTTCCGATCAGAGAATGAACAGTTACTGTCATTCATCACTGGAGCTGTCGCATTTCAGTGTATCTACTGGCAGGGGCTTCTGAGCAGTTTGATCAGAGATACTCTGTACTCCATCTATTCCTCAACAACTAACACATCTATCAATGACAATGCTGGAACTCAGACGCAGGTTTACAAAAAGCTGGTGAGTTTTATTTCGCAAGGTCTTCGCCCGCCTTAAGTTTATGCCCTTCTTAGGAGGAGTATTGCGTGGCATTGTTGAATTTTCTGCCACGGTGAGGGTTCTGATCCCTTGGGTCCAATTTAAATTGACTTAGAATCGCTCGGCAGTTCCTTCACTCCGGGTTCATGGTTGTGGGTAGCTTCCCCGACAACACCATCCCAAGCAACCTTTCCTCCGTAGTCAATGGGACTATGTACATATCTACGATAGGCTGGACTCGGCGGTCGGCATATTTTATCTCTATCCTTCCCTTCACCGTCATCACCATCCTCATGTTTGCCTCCCCTTTGTACAGCATCTTGCATGCTCGGAAAAGGAACAGCGGCTATAGGACCACCTTCGATCCGTCAAACCCCCTTCACCTCATTATGGCATCTGCTGAGGCAGGGAAGGCATCCACCGTGGTGTTGAGAGCCGATGTGTCCGAGGGAAGTAAGGCCGAGAGAGAGAGAGCTGAGAAAGGAAAGGACGATACGGCCGAAGAATAGAGCACATCGAGTGCGAGCGTCTCCAAACGGAGAACGTCGACGACGTGTCAACGTCGGCAATCTTTTCGTTCTTTAAGTATATATTTTTCATCAAAGCTATTGCTGGCAGACTCACCGTATAAGAGGACGCTGTTTTCGTCGAAACGTCTCAGATTCGAAACGAATACTGAGACGTAAGTACAAGTCCCACTGTAACGTTCGAGCGCAAGCGCTGACGTACATCTAGTCGTACCTTTGTTCTAGGTACAAACAATTGTTAATAGAGATTCGAAACGAATACTGAGACTCGTACCTTTGTTCTAGCGTGTCGTAAAACCTCCCGCGTGTATCGTTCCTCCACAGGTTATGAGCCCTGTCTCCTCCATGGACTTGTCGACTCCCAGCACCAATTCAAACCTTTTTAACATCCCGAAGCTCGCCGAAGATGGCTCGAACTGGATAACCTACAAGGAAAGGACGTTAACGGCTATAGGTGCACGAGGACTTACGAGATATACCGATGGACGAGCTAAAGAGCCTACGCCTTTCGTAAAGAGCTCTACGGGGGCCGTTACGAAGCCGGATGGTACAACACCTACGCAGAAAGAAATCGATGAGCTCGACGCAAAGACCGATGAGTATCAACAAAAGAACTCACTCGTAAAACAGCAAATATTTTGCACGATCACAGATCGGCTGCTGTTACGTGTCCAAAAGTTAGCATCCGCGTCCGAAATCTGGAAGGAAATATGCCACATACATGAAGGCAAAACCGAACTCGTCCAGATAGATCTGAGACGGAGGCTCCAGGAGACGAGGTGCGAAGAAGGTGGTGACGTCAAGGCTCATTTTTCAGAGCTTTTGCGCCTGAGGGAGTCGTTAGCTGGAATGGGGGTAGCCGTCATTGATACGGACTTTCATGCCATCATCCTAGGGTCCTTACCTGAATCCTACCGGCCGCTACTGTCGTCGATGAACGCAGCGGCCAAGATAACGAAAACTCCCCTCTCGCCCTACGAACTCATCACCATCATCACAGAGGAATACGAGCACCGGTTACTCACCGAACGACGTCCCAACAAACGCGGGACCAACAGTGCGCTCTCCGCGAGAACAAATGCAGGGAGGAGCACGAGCTCGCAGAGCTCGGCTCCAAAATCCAACCCCGACGCAGTCTGTACGAACTGCGATCGTAAGGGCCACTGGAAGAGTGACTGTTGGCGAAAAGGTGGAGGAAAAGAAGGTCAGGGGCCGAATCAACGGCAGAGACAAGGAGGACGCACCCAAAAACAAAGTGCCAATGTAGCCAAAGAGCCGGAGCCAAAGGACAACTACGCTTTCGCTACGTCAGACCTCGCAGTCATAGCAAAATCGATGGACGTACCTCCAGAGCGCCGAGGAGCAATAGTAGACTCCGGCGCGACCTCTCATTTCTGCCCGGATAGGGCAAAATTTGTATCCTTCGTTGAGATCGCCCCGCAGAAGATATACACTGCGAATGGAGCTACTGTCAATGCGACAGGACGAGGAGACGTGAGGATGGACTTACCGTTGGGCTCGAAACGAACGACCGTGACGCTAAAAGACGTCCTATATGCCCCCTCCATGGCATTTACCCTTATCTCCACCAATAAGATCGCCTCCGCCGGTTTGGCCGTGCTGTTCGAAGGAGGAATGTGCAGGATACTGTCTGCTCCCCCCGAACGAAGGACGATCGCAGAAATACCCCAAGTCCAGGGACTTTACGCTGTAACGTCCGACCGTAAGCATCGTGCCAACGTCGCCAGGACAAAGCTTACCATCAATGATGTCCATCGTGCCCTAGGGCACGTATCACATGCGGCCCTTCTTGACGCAGTCAAGAAGGGCCTAATCCTGGGCATAGACATAGATCCGGCGCCCGCCATCCAGTTCTGTGAAGTCTGCGTGAAAGCTAAGTCAGCTCAGCAGTCCTTCCCAAGAGAAACGAAGATGCGCGCACTTACATACGGAGAACTAGTCCATACGGACCTCTGGGGACCGGCGCAGACGACGAGTTTGGGAGGCTGTAAATATTATGTCAGTTTCACGGACGACTTTAGCCGGCAGACGCGACTCGAGTTCCTCAAACAAAAGAGTGACGCACTTACCGCGTTCAAGTCCTATGAGGCATGGGTGGCCCGTCAATCACCAGGTGTGCGCGTGCGCAAAATCCGTTCGGACAGAGGAGGAGAGTATCTGAGCGCCGAGTTCGATCAATACTTGCGTCAGCAAGGTATAGAGCGGCAGCTAACAGTGCACGACTCACCCCAACAGAATGGTGTCGCCGAACGACTCAACCGGACACTCGTCGAGCATGCGAGAGCAATGCTCCTAGGCAGAGATATGCCAAAGTACCTGTGGGCCGAGGCCGTTAGTTACGCCACTTGGCTCAAGAATCGCCTACCTTCAAGGGCGATCCCAGGTAGCACGCCCTACGAGTTGGTGCGCAAGTCCAAGCCGGACTTGTCGCAGGCCCATGAATTTGGGGCCAGGGTCTTCGTCCATATGCTGGAGGCTGGTAAGCTGGAGGCGAGGGCGGAGGAGGCAGTTTTTGTGGGGGTAGACGCTGAAAGTAAAGGATACCGGGTGTATTGGCCCGGCAGACGGCGTGTCTCGGTGGAGAGGAATGTGACCTTCACGCCGATCCTGGCAGCCGATGGTATGCCGGACGAGGGGGAGTCTGCTGTAGTCAACGAACATAACAGCGGCAACGGTAATAATAACTCACCTAGTAGCGTCCAGCCCATCACCATGCCACAGCAACCTCAACCTTCTACTCCTAAGCAACCCCAACCATCTACTCCTCAGCAACCTCAACCTTCTACTCCTAAGCAACCTCAACCATCTACTCCTCAGCAACCTCAACCGTCTACTGCCCAGCAACCTCAACCATCTACTCCTGAAGCGAGGTCGACGAGGGTAAGACCACCCCCAGGGTACTATGCGGCGCTGAATGAGGGCCAAACGGCAGCCCTAACCATGGAAAGCCTGTTGGAAGCGTCAGAACTCGACCTCTTGGATGAAGAGGCGCATATTCACCTAGCATTGGCCGCCGTCCAACCAGAACCGACCCTCCAACAAGCCTTGAAGGGCCCAGACGCTGCAGAGTGGCAAGAAGCCATCAATTACGAAGTCAGTCAACTCGAGAAGCTAGGTACGTGGGAAATCGTAGACGCACCTCGAGGCGTAAACCTTATCCCATGCCATTACGTCCTGGCCACAAAGCGCGGGCCGGACGGCGAGAAGCTGAAGCTTCGCGCGCGCCTAGTTGCAAATGGGCAGCGCCAGAAGTACGGGGTCGATTTCTTCGAAACCTTCGCCCCCACGGCCAATATGAGCACAATACGTGCAGTCCTAACGATGGCTGCTCAGCACGACTGGGAAATACACCAAGTCGATATTAAAAGTGCGTACCTATATGCGAGTCTGCAGGAGGACATATATATGCGAGCGCCCCCTGGATACTTGAAGGATGGTCAGGAAGGGAAGGTACTGAAGCTGAAAAGAAGCTTACCTGGACTCAAACAAGCAGGATATGAGTGGGCGCAGGAGCTAGCTGGAGCCTTCAATGAAATGGGCTTCAGCAGGTCAAAAGTAGATCAAGCCGTTTTCTACAAACGCACCTCGCGCGAACACGTCGTCATCACCGTCTCTGTCGACGACATGGCCGTCACCGCCAACCATATATCCCATATCCATCGGTTTAAGTCCGAGCTGCGCGCGCACTTCGAGATTAGCGACCTAGGGGAGTTGAGCTGGTTATTGGGGCTGAAGGTGACGAGGGACCGCGTAGCACGCACCTTGACACTTTCACAGAAGGCATACGTCGAGACGATCCTCGAAAGGTTCCACCTGGAGGACGCGAAGGTCCTGCACACGCCCATGGAACCAGGTACTGTCCTTTCCATAGATCAGTCCCCTGCAACACACGCTGAACTCCAAGCTATGCGAGACGTACCATATCAACGCGCGATCGGTTCGTTAATGTACGCAGCTACGAGTACCCGGCCAGATATCGCTTTTGCGGTGGCAACACTGTCGCAATTTATGAGGAATCCGGGGAGACCCCATTGGGAGGCCACCAAACGCGCCCTGCGGTACCTGAAAGGCACCGCAGACTATGAGCTGACGTTGGGATCCAGCGAGGGAGGAATTGAGGCGTTTGTCGATGCCGATTGGGCATCGCAGCCACATAGGCACTCCATGAGCGGGTACATCGTACTGCTCCATGGAGGCCCCGTTTCGTGGAGCGCGCGCAAACAGCCTATCATAGCCCTGTCAACAGCTGAAGCTGAGTACATAGCGTTGACCAGCGTGGCAAGGGAAGTACTTTACCTGCAACTCCTCATCCGCGAGCTCTACGACGTCCAAGACCTCCCCACACCCATCTTCTGCGACAACCAAGCTGCTATAGCGTTAGTCTCGACGGGAAAATTCCAATCGCGCACCAAGCACATAGACCTGCGATACCACTTCGTACGCGGCCACGTGAAGGACGGTACCTTCAAGATAATCTACTGCCCCAGTGACGACAATGTCGCGGACGCGTTCACGAAGCCATTGGCACGTCCCCGACTCCAGAGGTTGAGGACATTGATGTGTTTGGATAACGCTCGAGGGGGAGTGTTGAGAGCCGATGTGTCCGAGGGAAGTAAGGCCGAGAGAGAGAGAGCTGAGAAAGGAAAGGACGATACGGCCGAAGAATAGAGCACATCGAGTGCGAGCGTCTCCAAACGGAGAACGTCGACGACGTGTCAACGTCGGCAATCTTTTCGTTCTTTAAGTATATATTTTTCATCAAAGCTATTGCTGGCAGACTCACCGTATAAGAGGACGCTGTTTTCGTCGAAACGTCTCAGATTCGAAACGAATACTGAGACGTAAGTACAAGTCCCACTGTAACGTTCGAGCGCAAGCGCTGACGTACATCTAGTCGTACCTTTGTTCTAGGTACAAACAATTGTTAATAGAGATTCGAAACGAATACTGAGACTCGTACCTTTGTTCTAGCGTGTCGTAAAACCTCCCGCGTGTATCGTTCCTCCACACGTGGCACCCGCTGTCGGGAGTCTGAGACTCCAAGGTTTCAACGATATTGAGATCACAGCCAACGAGCGCGTGAAGGTGCAGCTACAGGACGATGGTGTAGGGAAGAAGTTTGTAACAGTTGATTGAAAGAAGCTCGTGCGATTTTAGGTACCACATCAGCAAATGCATGCTGTAATAGAGCTTCGATATTCATCACAGAGCCCGTATTCAGCTGTCACAATCTATTCCCTGGAATGCGCCTCGATGTCTTTGCGATCACTACTTTTAGTTCGGTTCCTCACGAAGTCAGGTTGCTTGCGAAAATCAAGTTACCATAAACATTAATAATTGCCTGTACGTAATATTACCAAGAAACTCAGTCTGAAAGACCGTGGGAACCTCTAAAAAGCCGCATACGCATGGGTGGCCAGGGCCATCAGTAAACCGGTGAGTTCTTGCTGGGGATTATGCTGATTATGGTGCTTTTACATGGTCATATATTGCTTTATATCACTTTATATTACAATGTGACGAAAACCTTTCCTATATATTACGATATATAACGATATATGACGATATCTTCTTCTCACAGGTTCTCTGATGGCCGGGGTGGCCACTGTGAAAACAATGATAAAACATGACGGATATTGAAATAACTGGCGGAATGGTAGAGAGTGGTAGAGTCGAACTCAAATCTGGAGAACTTCTTGTCATCGCGGCAAACGAAAAAAAATTACAATTCAGGCACCAGGAAACGCGTCACGTCATTCAAGCTTCAGCTTCAAGCCTTCAAGGCTCACAAATCATCCAACTTGTCACTCGCGTGGACGCCCGATGCGGCACACGCCTTCTCACAGGCGGCAATAGGGTAGATCCTACTACATATACGCGAATGGGATGCAACAACCTGGAAGCAGGTCGGTGATCCTTGGACGGGCCACACTGACCACATCAATGCCATTGCCATTCATCCTGCTGGCACACTCGTTGCATCTACATCTAGTGACAGCCACACCCGTCTCTGGCAGCTCTCCGACCGACAAACCATTGCCGTCTTCAAGCACTCACTCACTAATTCATGCGTCACTTTCTCCATGGACGGCAATCACATCTTCAGTGGAGGTAGCGATAAGATGATCCCAGAGTGGACAGTACCTCAGGGTATACATCCAAAGGTATGTTTCCATCTCTGACTCATATACCACAAATCGAGCATGCTTCTTGCAGACTATTGCCACCACAACCGTCCTCGATGCATACATAGATGGAGACTTATCTACTGACGAAGAACTACTCACGCAAGATATCAATACCGACGCGAATAACCATATTCCCTACGTCCATCGCTCAAAGGCATGTTCCGTTCTTGACTAATATTTACCACAATTAGAGCATGTTTCGTGCAGATCCTAGCCATCACGACCTCCCGTATTGCATGTGTAAATGGAGACTTATCTACCGCCGAAGGACTACTCACTCAAGATATCAACACCAGTCCGAACAACCATACTTCCTACGCCCATCGGCCATTCGTCATGGCGCGAAAATACGACTGGGACTGCGCCCTTCTGGATGCAATCAAGGTGAGCATCATCACCGCCTTATATACTAACTCGACGGTGACATAGTCCATCGGGGTTCAGCCCTCATTGACGGGCTATATCTCCAAGGGTATTGCTCTCTGTGGAAAAGGTCGCGTCCTGGATGCGAGGGCAGCTTTTGATGTTGCATCCATGTACACGGACCAGGATTCAGAAATCGTTCATTTTCTGCTATTGATCAAGGTATGGTATGTTACATTTGCCTCGCATACTCTTCCCCTCATCGCGTATTTCAGGCCATCGCGTTCTTCAATGCAGATCAACATGACGAGGCAAGCATGCTCCTCAAGGAGCTCGCTGCCGGTTGTCCGAATGCCGACACTCTCGCATCTAGCATCGTGCAAGTAAGTGTCATCCATGCTTGGTCATCAACGTTTCAACACTCATCTTTACAACTCGTACATTAGGCATATCTACACGTTCAACTCGGAATGAAAGCCTTGGATGGTGCACGTTACGACGAAGCCACCGACCATTTCACTGCCGGTATCGACTCTAGCGATTCATCATCGAAATCGAACATTCATGAAGTATATGAAGATTTGGTGGTGGTACGTCAAGATGATGCATGTATAACGTTTCATAACTGAATCTCTTGTCCAGCTCTTTGGCTGGGACCTTAAGTCGTTGTGGCGAAAGGCACGCCATAAACGCTGTGATGCACTCCTTCGGACGGGTAAACTCCAAGAAGCCGTGAAATCATACTAACACATGATGATTTCGAGGGACGAAATCACCAAAGCCGACTGCCTTGATTGGTCCAACGGCGAGTCTAGAGCCAGTAATGTTGCGCAGGCTACAATTCTCACCTGTATTCCTCTCAGATTTCAAACAGCAATACAACGCACTCTGCTCTGCCAACGGAGATGCCGCCTTCGCTGCAAGCGATTACGACAAAGCTATTGATCTATACTCGATGGCGATCGACCTGGATTATGCATCCGATGTTGTCTTTGGAAATCGCAGCCAGGCAAAGTTGAGTAAAATGCTATGGGAGGATGCACTCCTCGACGCGCGAAAGGTGCGATGGCATCCACGTTTTCGTAGCCCATGTTGACTTCGGCGATGCATAGGTCACCGAACTCAATCCTTCGTCTCATGTTGGGTACCAGTTGTCACACTCAGCGCTGCGTGGCGCGCAACGTTACGAAGAAGCCATCGAGGCCTTCACAATCATGTTGTCCAAGTTGGACGAAGCTCCCGAAGCTCAGATACGAGGTAAGCCATGGAACATTACTACCTCGTCTTTAAATGCCTATCTTATTCTGCAGATCTGCGTCAGCAGTACGTCTGTCCATCGGAAGCAGAAGATGCTATTCGAAGAGCGGTTTGGATTGAACTCAGCAACGCCCCCCTTCGTCTGCTCAACACTTCTACGGGGTCTTTTGTGCGACCGAGCAGCACAGCTGAACTTCTTCAAAACAAGTCCAGAATACAAGGAGCTTTTGTCATCCATAACGAAGCGTTCGAATCTCGAAATGGAACGCATCAAGGAGGTGGTGGCGATGCAATTCCGTTGCGTTTTGCTATCACACAGGTGGGAAGAGACGGAGGCGTCGCTGCACCGCATCCAGGACAAAGCCGTGTACGAGCTGGATGGACTTAATGGCACCGCAAAACTGCAGTCGTTCTGCAAAATCGCTCGTGATGCGGGGTATTTCTGGGCGTGGATGGATACATGCTGCATCGACAAGAGCAACAACGTCGAGCTTCAAGAATCGGTCAATTCCATGTTCGTCTGGTACCGTCACTCAGCGCTCACCATAGTCTACCTATCCGATGTTCCTCCTTCATCCCCGTCCGGCGCACTGGCGAGTAGTGTTTGGAACGAACGGGGATGGACCTTTCAAGAATTCGTCGCTCCGAAAGTCGTTATATTTTATCAGAAGGACTGGTCATTATATACAAATGATCGCTCTCCCAACCACAAAGAGTCCCAAGCAATCATAAGGAGTTGGAGTATGCGACGCGAATAGATGCACAGGCCCTGATCTCCTTCCGTCCAGGGATGAGAGATGCTCGAGAGAAGCTGCGATGGGCATTAAAACGTGTCACCACGATGCAGGAAGACATCGCGTACTCGTTGTTTGGTATCTTCGGCGTCCACCTGCCTGTAATATATGGCGAGAAGAACCAAAATGCGCTCGGCCGGCTCCTGCAGGAGATCGTGGCTAGATCGGGCGACATTACTTCCCTGGACTGGGTCGGATAATCGTCCGAGTTCAATAGTTGCCTTCCAGCCGACATCATCCCATATGCAACCCCGCCATACTCCCTACCATCATTGTCTGAAGATGAGATCCAGACAGCGGTTTCTTCGTTGCGAACCATTGTGCCTGTGGATTCAGCTTCCAAGTTGTATAACATGCTCGGGAACATTCATGTTCCCGTCTTCACCAACTGCAGACTCCGTCTGCCTTGCATCGCATTCCGTGTCACAGAAGTCAAACGCGGGGTATCGCTGCTCATTCCACGTATGGAATGAAAGCAGATGGGCTTCAAGACTTGCTGATCACCACGGACGAGACCCTAATTCAATTCTCGCGCACAAGGCTCACTCAGCAGACATCCTTTCTTGTCCGTCCATGGGACCGTCGTCTCCTTGGGCTGCCTGATTTTTCAGAGCAGCTCGCCTCTGCAGACGAAGGGGAGAGCGTAGGGGATTGGTCCGAGTCCGAGTCTGGATTAGACGACACTAACAAGTCGTCCAGCAACTCACCTGGAGAAGAGGAGTTGTCAGTTGACTCGGATGTTCACTCACGATCATTGCGTTTGATGGTTCACCTTGGGTAGGCTTTCAGCGCACTTTTGGTAGCGCAACAACGCGTTGGAGAATACAAGAGGGTCGCGTCGGACCAATATATCATTGCGCAGGTGAAACACCCGGCTTCGATTAACATTATGAACATCGGGACCCTAGACATTTTGTAGCTGAATGGTTTTTTTAGAACACGTCGACGATCACATTATCATAGTCTCATATATCATACATACCCTGCAAATGACCCTCGCACATACAAGATTTCAAAATTTGACATGCAGAGGCACCATCTGCTCTCGAGGTGGTTGGAGAGGACGATATCGTCTGTCTGCATTCGAGTCAACATGTGCGCTTGGAAAAGTACGGCTTGCTAGTCAATTATAAAGCTCTATCTTAGGGATAAGAGATAGCGACGGACTCTATCCGCCTGGATGCTGATATCTATATGATCTATGGTATATGTTCCCCAGAAATGGTAAGCCACCCTCGTTCTATTTTATGGTGATGCGAGAGTGAGTCTTCAATGCTTCCTGTATCTTTCCCTCCATCGCCCATGAAGGCACAGGGATCCTGTATGTATCTCCGGCCCGGGCATATGAAATATCGCCCACACGCGCGACAGGCTTGAATTTTGTGAGGTCGACGGCACCTCTGCTTGTGAGCATGTCTTTGCGCACGTGGAAGTACTTGACGTGCGCGAGGATGAGCGTGATGTTATGCTCGCCTGTGACTGGATGCGTGATATCTATCGATTCGTAGAGCTATTGAGAGGCGAGGATGTCAGCGAACGAGCGGGCTCGGCCTGAGATGAAATTACCTCGCATTCCATGCTAAAAGCGCTTTCCTTGACGCGCTTGGCTCTTATTTGCACCTGAACGCGTAATTGTTAGGTCTTATATCGAACGATGAAGGTCCACACGTACACATTTCTCCTTTGTCAGACCGCTGAGAGCCCACTCGTCGAACTCGGGAGGAGCGTCTACGGCAGTCGAATTTGCATTCTCGACGAATGCCTCGCTGATGATGTTCACGGCGAATCCTTGGCCGTCCTTCAGGTTCGCGGTCGTGTCTGCCCATTTCTGTCGTGCTGTAGACTTCCCAGCCTGCAGATTCGCCTGCAAGCCAGTCTTTTCCGGCAGGAGTGGCGTCGACTCTCTGGCCATATGTCCAGGATGGATTGGGTGATTGGGTGGTGGTGGAGTACGAGGTGGTATCGAATGGAGGGATGTACATGGTTGGTGGATTAGCTGTATGAAGACAGCGAGACTGACCCTGTATTTATAGTTACATGGTCACAAATATCGAGGCCAGTCTTCACGCATATGAGGTGGAAGCGCTGATAACGGATGATGCTGACTGCTTGGCTTACGAAGTGATCATAAGGACGCAAGTTGTGGATCGGACGATACGTAGAGTCGTAGACTCGGTGCTCGCAGATGGATGAACGCATGGAACCGTGTCGAGTCCGTGATCGCATCAAGTCAGCCAGTGTAATATGTCAGAACTTACGGGCCAGGTGAAATTGACGCGGCCCTGCCGCGCCTGCCGCGGTCGTGACGCGCCTGTGACGCGGCACTGACGCGGCATATGTGACGCGGCACTGTAACAAATTCCTATGTTACTGTACAAATTGGCATGTTTACACAACTTCATATCGCATTCCAAACACTTTGAATCATCGTTAATGATCAACATATGAGTGTCTGCCTGCGTACAGGCTCTATAGTGCTGTATTCACTTCTCACCAAATTTACAGTGCTTGCCCTCTGCATTCACTACTAGTATGCATCTTGCGCGTCAGTCCGAGTCCTATATTGTTGCATTACCTCTAATTCGTTCATCTATGTTGGTTTTCAGATGCAGTGTCAAATGTTGTCTCACTGCGTCAAGCTTCGACCTCACCCTGCCAAGCACGACAGCAGCAGTTTTCGATGAGAGGCTCACTGACTTGGAAGCAGAGCTAGCTTAGTCTTTGCAACCATTCCTGATAACGTCAGGAAAGTCTGAGGGCGAGAGTTTACTTATTCTTAACAATCCAGGATTTCCCAGTACCCTCACATACTTACTATCGCATTTTAACGAACATCTCGAGGTTGTCCTGCAGTGGCGGTAGTGTGTGGGCCCGGCGTCCCGACTTATCAAGGATACATTCTACGCTTGCTCGACAACAGATCAATTCCCATTCATATCTGATCAAGGGATTCGGTACACGAAGGACATCCGTGTGTATCATTCTCATTTCACTCCCTTCATGAGAAAGTCCGTCCTTCTGTCGACAAGAAGATCGTTGGCCGACTGAGGTTGCGGGAAGCACCATCGGCAAAACAAGTGATCGAGGTTTTAAGACCAGCCTGCCCAAGGGTGTCAACATAGCGATGAAATGGTCCGCCTTTCTCACAACAAAGCAAGGTTAGAGCTCTTCTTCTCGATCGGAACCTAATTGATACTGTTGTATAGATGCATCCATATGCACAATTTCCGCCGAGTGTTATTACGCGCATCCAAAGTATGTCTATCTCGTCCCGGGTTCTTTCTCGCCCAAACGAATCGCAATGCAAATTCTCAGCAGACCACAGATACACAGGTCAAATATGCCCCCCTCGCCGAACTCGCACCTCTGTCTAGCAACACCCTCATTGCATCGACTTATGATACACTTCTTGCTCCTCTCCTGACCCTTTTCACGGATACCTTGTCATCTGTGACATTCCTCATTAAGTGCTCGCTGCACAGATACACGTTCCATGCGCTCTCTGCGCTCTTTGCCATAACCATGACTCAGAGTCGCCAGTGGGAAACCGTGCTAGCAACACCTGGACGGGAGGGAGATAACCACCAGTGCCAATGGCCGCGAAAACCGGCATATCCAATTCGTGTTGCGGCTGCTCTACCTCCACTCTGATTAGCGTGCAAGTCTTGGTGCTATTCCAACTTACTATCGAAGGTGAGCGGGCCTGGCTATGTGTTTGCGCGGTCTCACTGTCCCCTTCAGATATTTGATCGCTGCACGGCACCTGACTTATAAGCATGTCTGCTGACAGTGTTTCGGATGGCTTAGTTTGTATAGCGGAGTTGTCCTGCCGCTCTGTTCTGAGAATTTGCAGGAGAACTTTGTGGTATTTAAATCGCAGGTAAGTGAGTGGCCATTCGCCTGGCAGAATCAAGAACCTAGACTATCGCTGACGAGAAATACCATTCAGATCAATCAGTGCTTCAGCATCCAATCACCAACGCACTGTAAGTTAAGAAAGTGGAGCTGGGCAAATGTCCGGTTTCAACTCGTCTTTTTAAAGTGTCTCATGATCCTCATGTTTCATTCGCAGCTTCATTGCTGTTAGGGTTAGCACCCAGGTCAGTGCAGATGCTCAGGACGACAAGGGCAGGGTGGACTATTATGCTGTTGCACATCGCATTTCGGAGGTCTCGAAGCAGCCTGGTATTCTTATCGGTAGCCAGCTCAAGGTCATCAACTGAAGGGCCTGCAGTCGATGGTCAGTCGTTACAACAACAAGGTATCCTTGCAGATGAGATGGTGAGCACGGGCTTTCGCATTCTCTATATATCTTATCTCATTCGAGCATAGGGTCTCGGAAAAACAATATTTTCAAATCTCGCTGCTCACATTCCTCATCAAAGTCAAGAGACAACCCGGGCCTTATCTTATCATCCTGCCACTGTCAACGATGACGAGCTGGTTCGGCGAATTTGCAAAGTGGGCGCCGACAGTGAAGATGAAAGGGCAACCCCGCACAACGTCGCGACCTCCAAGGCGAACTGCAGATGGGTCAGTTCCAAGTTCTGCTCATCACATATGAGTACATCATCAAGGACTGACATTCTCAGCAAGCTCAAATGGGTGCACATCATCATCGGTGCGTGGGTTTGAGTATTTGAAAGTTGTCCGCATGAACGTGCTGCAGAGTCAGCTGTATAGGCAGATGAAAAAGCACAAAATGAACATGAACACGAGGAATGAGAAGGGGTACGTTTCTTAGTGAGTGGGCGAGTCGTGGTGCTGATCTTCAGTGACTGGTGGATAAGACACTGTCTAGTATTTTGGATATCCAGTATTATATGGACCTGTGATGTGTAAACCCCCTTGCCGTGCTATTCTCAACTCGTTATGTCTCTTCTTCTTTCCTAATCCTATAGTATGGTTGAGAGTTGGTAGCTGCCGTTACAGCCTTGAATAGATGGGTGATTCAGAAACGCTGGAAAATACCCAGAGGAGCCCTAAGTGAACAACACACCATGTCGCCATTGTCAGGACATGGGCACAGCCAGAGAAGGGCGCGAGATCCTCGAGGTTCTTGAGGGCGACCTTAGCGACACGAGGAAGTAATTAGAAAACAAAAAGTAGCAGCGACGATGATCAGAGTACTTCTGAATTGTATCATTTCGAAGTTCGTCAAGGGTCTTGATGAGCTGGCTGATATCTTTGGCAGAGGATATTTGAGTCACAAACATTGCTGTCCGACTCGGGAAATATTCAGGAGATTGAGAGTCGGAATTGTCGCTTGAATGGCAGCTTAGACTATCGTCACAGGTGGGTGCGATGTTGCCCGTCGTTGTGGCTAACTTTACATTGATTGTCATAATGGTAGACGTTGAGGCCTAAAGGGTGGGAAAATTGGTCACGATGGCAAGGGGGACATGGCGAAGCTGTCGTAGAGTCGGGGATGTCACATCATGTGAGTTCGTTGGTTTCTACTTCATTGCCTAGTATGCCTACAACTGGCATGCCGGCTGGTACTGCTGGTGCCACTGGGCTAGAAACGCCGCCGCCCTCTATCAAACTATGCTCCGAGCTTATGTCCACCCCAAGTATGGCTATCCAAATGAGCGGTCATGAGCGGTCATGCTATGTCGGGCTGTAATGCCCAGGCTAGTGCCACCGTGACTAAGTACAGACACCCACCCCCACACGTAATTTGACCGAGCTCAAAGCCACTCCAAGTGCGGTTGGCTCGGCCGTTGTCAGTGAACACATTGCTACTCTAAGTGTCGCGTACGTTAATTCAAAGCTCCCTCTGCGATACACTAATAATTGAACAGCCGGAATACTCTTCGATGGTGGGCACAATCCCCTCTAGGAACACAACAGATCATCGCAAAACAGCTTCAAATGATCTGAGAATCCGAACTTACGAGTAGATACATTATATTTTGCACCATTGAAGTTAAATGTCCCAGGAAGACCATAGGTGCATCCTGCAGCAGAGACTCCACTTAGCATTCCGCCGATGTCGATAATCTCGAAAGCATTATCCTGGACTTGGTTTGTTCGATTAGAAGAAACGGACGAAAGACTGAAAAAAGTAGAGATACGCACTGACAGAAAAACCTTGGTTTGAAAGTTCTTCAATGAGCAAGGTGGAAAACGCGGTTCCAGTGATGTCAAGTTCGGATCCTCGCATTTGAATGGCCATGAAAAGTAGGTTGGTGTCAGGAGAGTTGTTTACCTATATCCGCGCTTAAATTAGACAAGACAGTTAATAGTAAGATGCTCTCAGTGAAGAATTACCAGCTGTCAAGAGCCTTGACACACCAAAGACAAACAGTGTCAGGGTGGTCAGTCGCAAGTACTCAGGTCTCAATATGATCGAGCCCTTCGCCAAAGCGACACCGGCACTTAGCTCAACGAGAGAGATAGGCCGTGACATCCGATGTCTCAATGCCTCCTTGATTGAAATGGTGAAAAGACTAGGGGAATGTTCATCTCATGGTGAATGGAAAGCTAGAGAGTAAAAGGGTATACAGACGTAGCGGTCACGTGACTGAAAGCACAGTTGCTATCAATGTCGTCAACTCTTGAGGGTGATGCCTCCATAAGTTGCTGACTTGATCAGGTGGAGAAAGGTAATCATAATAGAGAACTGCACCAAGAAATTCGTACCCATACGCCAGGATAATAACCTGGCTACTGATAATAGCGGTGTGGCATAGAAAGTCCAGACTCCACAGGCACACGAGACATCGTAGAAGTAGGGTGCGTGATAAAGGCGTTCGTTACGAGCGAGAGGGTCACGAGGAGTCTAGAACGACAAAGACAAGATCTCAGTTGTCTCGAACGAAAACTCTATAACGGTGCGTCTACCTAGAACGACAAAGACAAGCTATAACTAACGTTAGACGCGTCGTAAACTTCAGGGACTTTTTGGCACGTACATCTCAGTTGTCTCGAACGAAAACTGAGATGCACATGCGGTACTGCTGGTAATCTTATAGTAAGTTGGTCAGGTACTGGAACATATGAATGAGAGACTGAAAAATAAACTAGGACGCGAGCCGACGTCATACGTCGCTCGTCTTCATCCGTTTTGGCGCGCGCTCGAACCATTCTCCCCTTATCACTCGGATCCTTCGGACTCTCTCGACTCTGATCTCCCCCTGGCGTCGGATCTCTCGGCCTCGTACTCCAACACGTGATACAGAATCGATCCTGATAAAGCTATTATATATGATGGCTGCGACATTAAGCTGAAGCCACGATGTTGAGCAGAGTCTGGGGTCTTTTTGTTGTGGATGACGTGAGGGTTGCCCGGACTTTGTTTGAAGTCGTTTGAAGGAACCGAGAACGTTCCGGGATTCCTAGCCACAGCGAAATATGAATATTCGAATCATGATTGGGTGGAAACGTGCTAATACCATATGGCTAGTGTCAGGTATTCACGTACTCTTGGTGTGCTATACTGTGTAAGCGCGTGGATCAATGTAATGCGAACATCTGTTTCTCGCTGACTCCAGGAAGGTGAAATACGGGAACTGGGATGCACGCATTTTCGGCTACGGTGTGGCTGGAACTCTGCTAGGGGTGAGGCTACAGTAGGTCAAAGTTGCACTCAACAATGGAACGTGATATGAGGAGCTGCGACTGCCACATTAACGCTGTCGGCAGGAAGATCTAGTACTCCATGTATCTTGCCCGTCTACGGGCCTACAAACACCTAAATAGAAAGATAGCTTGTAGTGCATCGGACGAATGTAGGGCGTATTGATATTACAGTAGTTGTACACAATTGGCAGCTATCGTACTATGTAAAATAAACCCAGGGAGTCTATGTATATGTGGAAGTTGTGACAATTGGTAGCGAAAGTACATCATGCAGAAGAGAAATGTGCGAAAGTGACTGGTGACGAGAAGATACTACCAAATATCAGTTTCTTGTGCCTTCGGAAGCTGCAACCCCCATAATTGCACGAAATTGTGCAAGTTCAGCCTGCATCTGCCGCATCTGGTCAACTTCATGCTGTCGCTCCGCACGAAGCCGGTCAAGTTCAGTGCGTTGCTCCGCACGAAGCCGGTCAATTTCACTTTGTTGCTTCACATGAAGCTGGTTGATTTCCATTTGTCGCTCAGCACGACCTTGAGCAAGGCCCCGCTGCAGAACCTGCGAAGGAAAACGACCCTCAATAAAAGACTGTCTGTTGAGAAATAGCTCACCTGTGCTAGTTCAGCTTCATGGCACTGTTTAACCTGCTCAACCTTTTTCAACACCCTCTGCCACTCTGACTCGTAAGCATTACACACAGCCTGGACACTCGGGTCTGAAGGTCCTACTGTGAACCCACCATAACGAGCACGTGAATTGTGGTTGTTAAAATTGCAGAGTTCTTGATTTATGGGGAAAAGTGCTTTCAGACTCCTCCATACGGTATCTGAAAACCAGAAGCATTGACTGTCGATGAGATCATACACCGGGGCCTGTTGATGTACGAGAAACAGGACAGTAGAAACTTCAAGCGCGGAAGGTGCGGGGGATGGAGAAAATCGGAGTGTGCATAGTGTTGTGTAAGGTCCGTGACTCTGAGTGAGACGTGGCTTTGCGTCCTGAGGGGAACCAACCATGGATACGGAGTCGAGGGCGGGGCTAGGTTCAGATGATGAATGTGAGACGAGTCCAGGGAACTGTTTGGAGGAATTGTCGTCTTGAGTTCGTAACTTGAAGGTGCGGTCTACGCAGATCACAGCTTCAGCAGAGGAACCATCTATCCAGTGTCCGAAAAAAAAAATGAGGAACTCATGTCGTGCTCCATTCGAACACTTGCAAAATTCGATGCGACGCAATGGGCATTTCAGATAAAGATTCTCTTGACCCCCATCCCAGTGATCGGCCATTAAGGACCACCATTCTGTCACAGGGGTGGCGATGTTCCCATCAGGTGGGTTGAACCGTAGTTGAGGGAGTTGAGCAGGGGGCTCTGACATGAAAGGACGAAGGAGTGCAGCTAGGAAACGGCGACCAATGCTGGAGCGGTTTCTTCGATCTTGCTTTAAGTACATCGCAAGCTGACAAGGGTTCGAACACGTTGCATCTAGCCTCGATGCCAGACATACATTGTACCGGGATTACCGGACCGCTGCTGAGTCCCAGTAAGAACCGGACCTCACCGTATCGATGGAAAACGATGGATATATTTACAAATATTGTCAAAGCTACGCAAATCATGAATTCAGCATATTATCGAGAAAGTTGACGTGCGTCGTCTCGATCAAAAGAAGCAAACACACAATTTTGTCAATATTGTCTTGCACATTTTTGCAGACATAGGTCAATCAATCAATCGAACACAGCGAAATTCGAATCACTTGTCACTTGTTTGTGTTGTTTTTAACTTGATAAGTGTACGCGACGCGCGTCCTTACTTTCAACTACATACTAGTACGATGGCTTCATCCCAGGTTGATCTGGTCCTGGGCCCGTGTCTCTTCCCGTGCCCTGTGTTTCGCTGATTATCGATTAGTTAGTTAGTTAGGGTTAGTTAGGTTAGTTAGGGTTAGTTAGTTAGGTTAGTTAGTTAGTTAGTTAGTTAGGGTTAGTTAGGGTTAGTTAGGGTTAGTTAGGGTTAGTTAGGGTTAGTTAGGGTTAGTTAGGGTTAGTTAGGTTAGTTAGGGTTAGTT